CTGATTTCACTGAGAAGCTTCCTTCTTTAGTAAAATTCCATGCCCAAAAATCCTCAGCATCTTCTTCTTCAATGGGAATCCTCAGAATTGCTTCCATTTCCATGTTGGAGACCTGGCCCTGGATGAAATCCAAGTTCCAGCTTCTATCTCCTGGATCAATCCACTCTTTCACCTTTACATAATTTTGGGGGCCGCTTTTTAGTGTAAAATTTTGCAGAGATGGAATCCATGGATCCTGGTCCAGCCAAGTGTCCTCTCTCGAGCCAATAACCCGGACCGCTCCCAGATTTATTACTTTCTTTGCTTCCCAGAGGCTTGCCCAAATCCAAGAGGGTCTGCTCCCTTTTTTTGCTTGGAGGAAATCATTTCTAGGGAAATAAAGCCCCTTAAGAAGACGACTCCACAGGGACTCAGGGCACGTAAGAATTCGCCACGCCTGCTTAGCCTAAAGGGCCATGTTAAAATCCTTGAAGCTCCGAAATCCCAATCCCCCTTCTGATTTAGAAGAGCATAGGATCTCTTTCCTACACCAGTGAAGGCTACTATTTTGCATAGATCCCGACCAGAAGAAGTTACTGAGAAGGGAGTCAATTTTCTTGGTAAGTGAGACCGGAAGATGGAACAGATACATGATGAAGGATGGAATAGCTTGGATGACGGCTTTGAGAAGGACTTCTTTTCCTCCATGGGAGAGCAAGAGACTCTTCCAAGCTTCCCCCATCTTTTCCATCCTTTGGATAAGGAAGGTGAAGGTTTCTTTCTTTGATCTACCCCACTCCGTTGGGACCCCCAGATATTTTGAGTGACAGTTTGATGAAGCAAATCCAATGTGGGCAATGATATCAGCTTTGTCCACTGCCGGGACATTAGCACTGAAGAAAACAGAAGACTTGCTGATATTCACTTCTTGTCCTGTGATTGCTCCATACTCCCCTATCAGATCCAGGATTTTCTGCGCTTCTTGGAGGTTTTCCTTTCCAAAGATAACCGTATCATCAGCGAAAAGACAATGGGTGAGAACAGGGCATCTGGCGTTCAATTTAATCCCCTTAAGCTGGTCTTCGGCCACGGCCTTATCAATCAAGAACGTAAGGGCATTAGACATGAGAATAAACAAGAATGGTGAAAGCGGGTCTCCTTGTCTGATGCCTCGGGAGGGTGTGAAGAACTCTGTTGCTTCCCCATTGAAAAGAATAGAGAATCTGACAGATCGGATACACGTACAAACCCAGTTGCACCACTTGTTATCAAACCCATACTTCATCAGAAGGGTTTCCAGACATTCCCAGTCGACCATGTCATACGCCTTCTTCATATCCAGCTTCAACATCATATCTCTTCTACTCCCCCGTTTGTGGTTTTTGAAATGGTGGAGTGCCTCGTGCACAATGATGATATTGTCTTGTATCAGTCTACCCCCAGTAAATGCCGTTTGGAGCTCCGAGACCAAATCAGGTGTCCATTTTTTGAGGCGGGTAGCCATAATCTTCGATATGATTTTATATCTAAAGTTACAGCAACTAATAGGGCGGAACTGACTGATTCTTTCCGGGTTGTCAACTTTAGGTACCATAACAATATGAGTATCATTCCATCCCTCCGGCAAAAGCGCTGTCTCAAAGAACTCTGTAACTTCTCTACATAGGGTTTCCCCAATAATATCCCAATATCTCCGGTAGAACCTCGCCAAAAATCCATCCGGTCCTGGGGCTTTCCTAGCACCCAAAGAAAAAACCGCTTTTCTAATATCCTCATTGGTTACCGGGGCACGTAGATCCTCATTCATCTCATTTGTCACTTTTGTTGGAAATCGATCCAATAGGTGGTTGTCCTGGATTGGGTTTCTAGCTCTAAAGAAATCCTTAAAAGAGACCTCAGAAAGACCTCTGAGCCTATTCTCATCTTCAATCCAGTTCCCTCCATCATCTTTAAGTCTCAGAATTTTGTTCCTATGCTTCCTTTGAATAGTGCTAGCGTGAAAGAAAGAATTGTTTTGATCACCTTTTTGGAGCCATTTCACCCTTGAGCATTGATTCCAGAAAGCCTCTTTATCCATCCAAGTCAATTAGAGCATCGTGGAAGATGAACCTCTTAAACGGTTCCACATTCTCATACCTAAGGGGACATCTCCCTTCTTTCTCATTCTCAAAGATAGCGGCATTGAAATCCCCTACAATAACCCAAACATCATCCCTACTACTCCGAAGAGAGCTCAGGTGCTCCCAAAAACCCCGTCGACTCATAGCTGTAGAGGGTGCATGAACAAAAGTACAAAAAAACTTCCTACCCATATCAATACTAACATCCATAAAATAGCTATCGCTACTTAGAATTTCAATACTAATACCCGCTTTCCACCATAAGGCAAAGCCCCTAGAAGAGTTAACCGGTTCAACATACTCTCTATTGGGGAAACATTTTAGACCTCGCCTTTGTTCTTCCATAAACTCCTCGTTCTTGCTTGTTTCCATAAGAAAAACGATCGAGGGGCCCAAGCGACGACACATTCGCTTTGCATAACTTCTTGTAAGGGATGAGCCAAATCCCCTACAATTCCAACTTACTATACTCATTCCAGTTGAGGTGGCTTCTGGCGAACCACCGCTGCCCTTGTATCTCCTCCTTCTTCTGTTGGGACTTGATCGGACTATTTTCCCCTTGGGTCACCCCCTTGGTGATGTTTTGGCCTATGTATCTTCTTTTTCCTATTCTTCCCTCCAGACCCTCCAATAAACACTGCCCCTTCTGGGCTTAAATTAAAACCCGCCACTTCAAAATTCTCAGACCTGGGCCTACTCCCACTCCCTTGGCTCGTCCCCTTTCTTTTCTTCATCTGGCGGCCTGCTTCTTCTTCTAAGGCTTCCTCCATATGATGGTATTGGGCCTGGGTGGTCTGGCCCACTTCGCTAAGGAGAAGCCCTGGCGCCTCCTGTTGACTCGGCCCAAGTGTAAGGTTTGTCCCCACCTCTTCTGTTTGTCGACGGAGATCGCCGCCCTCCTCCAACCTCAAGCCCCATTCCAATTCCGCCGTCGCTCGGTCCATGTCGATCCCCAGATTCCTTGCCCCCATTTCGACCCTGAACCTCCCCTTCAGTCTTCCATGCTTTGCCTGCATCTCCCTTTCCGACTGCTGCTTTTCGATTCTCTGGATCGTGAACCCTGGGGGAACACGGTGGTTCATCTCCATTTGGCTTCCAATCTCCTCCGCCGAGTCTCCTGTTCCTTCCTCTCGCCTTCGGTATCCCTCTCCCGACCTCGACCCTTCTGTTTCCCCCATAGAGCTGTGATATCCTCTGCTCTCTTCTCCATTTCTGAAGTTGGCCGAGTTGCATCTGTGGGGAGAGTCAATTCCAGCTTTGAGTGAGGAGTTGTAGATTTTTGACAGGTGAGCAACTCCGTTCTTCTTCCTCTCTTCATTCATCCTCCAGCAAGTGGGCCAGTTGTGCCCTATCCTGCCGCAGAAGTAGCATAATTCCACTAGCCTTTCGTACTTGAATGTAATCTCCTTATTGGGACTGGTTCCCTGAGGTCAACCTCCACCAAAATTCTCAGAAACCTCCTGTAACCAGCAAAGTCAAGGCTGGCTCTGTCCAGATCAAGGAGTTCCAGGAAATAGGAGGAGCCAATGGCCTCCATATTCTGCACGTTCCTTTGATTCTGATGCAAGCCATGGATCTGCACCCACATTGAAACCTTCTCGATTGGTATGTCTTCTGGTTTCCCTCGCCCACTATACTTTTCGATCCCAGTGAGCGTGTTGGATAAGCTCCATGGCCTATCCCTCCAGACTTTATCCCTTGTCTCCATGTTGTTAAATGTGAATATGAATAGGTTTGCAGTTTCTGTGGGCTGGATGTTCACCTCTCCATAGCTTCCCCAGGCATATCGAGCTGCCCTTGCTGCTTTTGGAAACCCGTTCTTATGAACAAACATCCTTTACAAAAGGCCTCTTAGGGTATGCCATGAAAACCCGTCCTTATGAACAAAGTGTGCATCGCTCCATTACCTCTAATTAATGAATAGAACGAATGACAAAGTCATCAATAGAATCTACAAAAGTCAATGTGCAATATCATCTGAACTGCAAATAGCTAGAAAAAGTACCGGGGTAGAACAGGGTGATCCTAATGAGCTAAGCAGTCAGCTAAAAAAAATTAGTTTCTCTATAGATATGTTGAATCGAACCCTTCCTGCTCGACTCAGAAGCTCCTTGAACGAGTGGATGACGTTCGCATTGCCGATGGTCTATTGAGAGCAATCCTACTCGTCTCTAAACACGTTCATGACACCGCACGAGTGATGGTACATCATCTCAAGTTCATCAAAAACGATCACAATAAGCAATGACCCCCAAGCCCGGAGGACCCTTTGCGATAACTTATTGCAATCTTCTAAAATTGAGGATGACAACAAACAAGAGCTTGGCCTAGCCTAGAATCTGGAGGTCTCAGGTTCTAATCCATTAAATAGTATCTTAATCACAAAAAAAAATTATATCGCCCTTATCAAAAAAATTGAGGATGACAACGGGTCGGATCGGGGATGGATAGTCAAATAGATGAATTAGTGAAATAATTAATGAATCTGCTGCTCCAACGACCTTCATCACCCGAGGCCATAGTCATTCCCGATGCCACGGAACGTAATTTTCCAATAAAAACCTTTAGGTAGCAAAACATAATTTTCCAATAATATTTTTTGTATAAAAATATAGGTACTAAAGTATAATTTAACAAAGATCGAAGAACTCAATTCATGAATCCAGCAATCCAATTGGATTTGAAACAAATAAATTGGATTAATTGGATATTTAAGTGGATGATGAATTGATGGATTGAATTAGAAATTGTCACCCCACTAGCATATAGAGTGGGGATTGCTATTCGTCGCCCTAAAACTTCTTATTTGTCGCCCTAATATCTATCAAAATGACTTAAATATCCTTAATTTAGTCTTTCTTTTCAAAACATATATAAATACTAAAATGAACGCATACTACTATACCAAATAACAAAATGAAATGTCCAAAAGTTTTTTTTAGAGAAATGAAATGTCCAAAAGTTAAATTAACAAATTACCCAGTATCTCCATTTTTAGCAACTAATTAAGCAAATTACCCAGTATCTCCATTTTTAGCAACTAATTAAGCAAATTGATCGGAGATCCGAATTTGACTTGCAGCTCCGATGTCTGCTACATGGAGCTTCAATCCTCCATCGACCCACGAACTTGTGCTCGACTGTTCGTTCTACTCCATTTCTTCATTCTGATTCTACTATGCTCTTCTCGTTACTCTACTTTATATATATATATATATATATATATATATGGTGACGTATTCGGTGCACCCACTTTTTTGGGTGCACTGAACGCACCCACTTTTTTGTTTAATCTCAACCGTTTAACACATCTAACGGTTACAATAATTTCATTTATTTATAATTAATTATTAACTAATCAACTATATTATATTTATTAAAACAATTTATACTTAATTGTAATTGCAACTAGGCCCCTGACTTTAACTGTCTTCCCCGATTCTTCTCTCCTTTTATCCGAACCATCTTGTTCCTCTCACCCAACAGAGACCACTTAATTTAATCCCTCACAGCAAAAGAGAGAACAGAAAACAAATAAATCCTTCCTTCCTCTGGACTTGTTCTTCCTCCTTCCTCTGCTCCCTGTTCCCGTTCTCTTTCTTCTTCTCGATATCTCCTTCTTATCCTCTAATTCTCCTTCTCATTCTCCAATTCCAATCTCAACTCCGATGCTTGCTTCATCAATTCGCCGGGAAACATGGAATTGGCGGGCATGCAAGGAGGAACCGCGACGAAGACTCGGTCGAATCCGACGGGGAAGTTGCCGGAAGGATTAGCCACAGAAATAGGTCCGGAGACCGACGAGCTGGCGGGGGTGGTGGGGGAAGAGTTGTGATCGTGAAAGGAAGATCCATCTCCGACCTTGACCCAATATCCGACCCTGACTCCCCTTCAATGTAATCTAGCGTTTTCCCAACCTGCCCCCTTCAATCAAACCATCGGCCACCAACCAGCAACAGAGCATCTTTCGAGGAGGACAAAACCAACGGCGTAGATCTAGATTCTGGATAGAGACGACAAACCCAGCTACCGCCGTATCGAAGTTTGGAGAGAAGACTGAAGAGCACAAGGTTGATAGTCGAGGAGGGGGATTCAGGAGGCAGAATCTGGAGATGGGAGCTCGAAATCTCTCCTCCTCCTAATCAAATCTGGCGAAGCCGCCGATCAAGGGAGGAAGGTCCTGTTTATTGAATTGAATTACTCCGTTGTTTTTATTTTGTAGGGGTTGCAGGCCACGAAGCGGATGGACGAGCGAAGGAGGTTGAACGGCCTGGAGGCGACTAGCCGGATTTGTGTTGCGTTTCGTCTGTTCGTGGGGTGGTCGAGAATTGAAGTTCGATCGTGAACACAAACTGTTTTTTGTGGAGATTGGGTCAAGGGCGGTACACAGGCGACAATTGCATTAATTTTAGGTAGTACATATGCTGGAAACATCGTTTAGGAACGAAAGAACAAAAGTATAATGAGGTTGAAGAAGGGCAAAGGGTATGTTTGATCGAAAAGTTATCGGCTGACCCATGTAATTATGTTAATGGGCTTCGTGATCCTGCTTGGCTAGTGGGGTTTCTTTTTGTAAGTGAAGCCCGCACGTATAAAGGCTTGAGTTTCGCCAAAAAGAATGTATGTATGAAAAAATTAGAACCCACCTCGTCAGGTTCGTACCACGATTGTTAATTAATCGTTAACATAGCCAGGGATTTAAACCACTAGAATAGTAGCCCACCACTTGTGCCAGTGACAACCTGTTTTGATTTTAATAATATCGAGCCAAATCATCAAAAAAGGTGTTTCATCGTAGACTTGAACCTCGTAACAAGATCAACCATCACCCAAGTAAACAACTTAAACCAGTACCACTAGTTGGCCGCTTGCCACCTGTAAAAATAACGATCTCTTATGACCTTAGATTTAAACTTTAATTCGTAATATTAGTTGATTGTGGTATGAATCATTCGGTTCTGAAATTTGGAAACAGTTATCCAACCTTGGTTAATAGATTGCGTGAAGGAAAAAAAAAAAAGTGGTAGCATATGTAATTCAATTTTATGACTGTTGTCAACTACACATATCTTTCATAAGACTACAAGTATTTTGTTGTTCAATTTTAAAAGTATCATTTATGGTACTGAAATAGTATGTACGATGGATTCCATAATTATCATGTTAGCGAGGCACAAAATCGGAAAAAGTAATCCCAATGTAAGCTATTTTGTATGAAAGAGCGTAACACGATAAGACCATAAATCGATCGGTATTTCTGGGATAGATTCGATAGTATACCCGTAATCAACCAACTCGAAATCAGTCATCCTGTTTAAAAACACGAACCATGTTTCTTCATGTTTTCTCACATCACATTCTCGAGCTTACTCGACTAACTTGTTTAGTATTTAGTAAAGGAGGTCCAAATGGATCGTCCCTCAGATTGAACATCAAAGTTCTTACAAAACCTCCTTCATTTCACCCTTAAACTTCTCTCGACAATTAACGTTTGGATTGTTCTTCGTGAAACATGGAATGAAAGTAGACCACAAGTAATCAAGCTAATTTAACTCATATGAAGATCAAGTGATAGATTTTGAGTATGAAACAATGAGTACATCATTTAGGCCAAGATTGACGGTGACTAAGTAGGTCATCCATTGACGGGTTCATTAAGCGTTCTTAAAGCGGCGGCGTTGATACTAGAGCTGACCAAGTGCCCATCCCACCTTTTCTATGTTCAACACAATCCATCCTTGTATGAGTGGAGTCATTAAGTTGCATGTTTCAATCCTCTTCCCCATTACTCATAAAAGAGGAACCCTCGATTCAGGTACAAAAGACTATCATTACCACATGCACAATACTGCTTCATTCGCTAAATGTCACTGCCTGATACTAGCATTGTTTCAACATTGGTCATGGTGCACGCTACCAACATGGTTCAGTGAGTTGTTATCAATATGGGTGGACATAACAATAAAGACGTCACAGCGAAAGTGACCTTTATTGTCACTAAATCTCGTCGTTGGTACTTGGATAATCTCCAAACTGTTGGTTTAGATAAGTTGTAACTACAATGCAAACTTTTTTATTTCGAGCATGGGTGTCCTATAAAGGAGGTTAGTTAGATTTGTATTACATTTGACAGAATGAATGCTATAGAAAGAGAGACATCATTGGATAGATTATGGGGTTGAGCCACTCGAGTTGCATCAATGTATCTTTCGGTCGACATTCATACACACTGGTCATGATTGTCCACACATGTGATGGTGCACATACAACTTGATGTACGATTTAGATGGATAATCAAATTGGTCCATACAATTTGAAAAAGATGGCATAATTACAAAACAAAAGTGGTACCAATTAATCAAGAATTTGGCGCACCAATCAAATTTAAAAAATGTGTATAGTAAATTTTCACGACCCGTCAACAAATTTAGGCAGGTATTACAGTGGCTCCAGTCTTTTGAGATAGATAGTTTTATATTAAATTCAAGCAAACAAGCAGGTATAACTAAATACACGAACAACACAATACAAACCAAAGAGCGGAATACACAAATACAATGCATCTTTTCGGAGGTCCAATTTCACAGCTTTGCCAATGTGAAAGGAAAAACCTATATGAGAATGGCCCTATTTTACAGCCAAAAACAAAATAATTTCTGTGCAATCAGCAACTTCAATACTTCATAATTCCAAAAATAAACGAAAAGAGAGAAACACGAAGTATGGTGGCCATTTGGAAAAGCAGAGAACCATCAAGTATGGTGGCCATTTGGCACTCAAAAAGAAAACAGGGGAGCAAGACAGACAGAAGAACAGAGCACGACACCTAAACGAAGCTGCAGACAAAAGGAAAGGTAAAGTTAGGAGAGCACCCAATCCATCATAAATGCATAGAAACCTGCTGTTCCTACAGATTTTAAAAGTCTATCTTCCCTCCTAACCTTTCCTGTGGGTGGGGTTGGATGTTTTTGGCTTATGGTGAAGAGGACGTTTGTTGGCCAATAGAGACATGCATTGCCAACCATTCCTAGTCAAATCTAAGATCATATTGAGATTTGAGAGCCTCAAATTGGGTACAAATACCCATACATGTTTGGTTATATAACCCCATAGGTCAATCACAAATAGGGCTCCTCTTCCAACACCATCGAGATCTCAACGGTCAACCATCACAAAACGTGGATACATTTTGTCCGAATGAGGGTAAATCGAACGAATCACAAAGCCAACGAGGGCTATGCTTACTCCTTTGAGACTAAAAATACCCTAAAATAGATAGAGGAAGAGACAGTACCATTGCCCATACATCAACAAAGCCCCATGCTCAAAATCACTAAATCAGAGGGAAATCAAGAACAAAATTCCAGGAGCAGTTCACACACACCGGAAGGAAAATCGCAAGGTGCGTTTCTTACCTTTGACGACTCCCGATCCCGGATACGTGAAGAAGCAACAAGTAGAAATGAATTCGAATGCCAGGTGAGATTCAGTCCCAATTCTGCGTCGACGGCAAACACACTCGATCAATCGCGGAATTGGTGGTGTCGGCGACTGGGTCATCCCAGTTAATCGCCGCAACAGAATTGAGGGTAGGAGATTTACGACCTGGTTTCATTAAGTTTTATGTATTATACAAAGCATAAACGCAGCGTTTGAAACCTTCTCCTTTGTTCCGTAAAAAAAAAAAAAAAAAAACCTTCTCCTTTGCACAAACTGATTGCTACCCTGTTCCAGGCAAAGCCGCGCAGGGGAATAACTCCACAACAGCCGAACGTTGGCTTGCACTCCGACTCCAGCTTCTGGACAGTTGGTAGACGTTGGTTCCCGGGAAAGCCCAATAAAACAAACGGGCCGAGCTTCTCGGAGTCGCTGAGTCGGAGTCGGACGGAGATTGAGAATCGCCGGGGAAACAAATACTCGATCGATCCTTGCTCTGCTCCGTTCCAGCTCGATTTTGGTTTACGGAGAGTCTGGCACCACTCACCCTGCTCCGAATCCAACATATCCCCAACTTCTCCCTCCATCGGTACCACCCCATCTGCTGCTTTCCCCCAACTCCCACCGCCGGCGGCACCCCTTTCGTTCCAATCCCCTTTAGTCGCCTCCACGCCGTTCAACATCCTTCGCTCCTCCATCAGGTCCGTGGCCTGCAACCCCTACACAATAAAAACCAAGGATTAATTCAATTCAATAAACAGGACCTTCCTCCCATGATCGGTGGCTTCACCAGATTTGATTAGGAGGAGGAGGGATTTCGACCTCCCATCTCCAGATTCTGCCTCTTGAATCCCCTTCCTCGACTATCAACCTTGAGCTCTTCTCCCCAAACTTCGATACGAACGACAGCTGGGTTTGTTGTCTCCGCCCAGAATCTAGATCTGCGCCGAGTCTTCGTCGCCGTTCCTCCTTGCATGCCGCCAATTCCATGTTGAAGCAAGCATCGGAGTTGAGATTGGAATTGGAGAATCAGAAGGAGAATTAGAGGATACGAACGACAACTGGGTTTGTCGTCTCCACCCAGAATCTAGATCTGTTGCTGGTTGGTGGCCGATGGTTTGATTGAAGGGGGCAGGTTGGGGAAACGCTGGATTACATTGAAGGGGAGTCAGGGTCGGATATTGGGTCAAGGTCGGAGATGGATCTTCCTTTCACGATCACAACTCTTCCCCCACCACCCCCGCCAGCTCGTCGGTCTCCGGACCTATTTCTGTGGCTAATCCTTCCGGCAACTTCCCCGTCGGATTCGACCGAGTCTTCGTCGCGGTTCCTCCTTGCATGCCCGCCAATTCCATGTTTCCCGGCGAATTGATGAAGCAAGCATCGGAGTTGAGATTGGAATTGGAGAATGAGAAGGAGAATTAGAGGATAAGAAGGAGATATCGAGAAGAAGAAAGAGAACAGGAACAGGGAGCAGAGGAAGGAGGAAGAACAAGTACAGAGGAAGGAAGGATTTATTTGTTTTCTGTTCTCTCTTTTACTGTGAGGGATTAAATTAAATGGTCTCTGTTTTTTTAGCTTTTTGGGTATGGGAAAGTGAAATGTATGGGTGAGAGGAACAAGAGGCTTCCCATAAGAGGAGAGAAGAAACGACGAAGAGAAGGGGTTAGTTTTAGGGGTTTAGTTGCAATTACAATTAAGTATAAATTGTTTTAATAAATATAAAATAGTTGATTAGTTAATAATTAAATATAAATAAATCAAATTATTGTAACCGTTAGATGTGTTCAACGGTTGAGATTAAACAAAAAAGTGGGTGCGTTCAGTGCATCCAAAAAAGTGGGTGCACCGAAGTGGCCACCATATATATATATATATGAAAATAGGGGATTATCAGTGGTTTTAGCGCCGAAGGCTCTGCTATTTGTTTGTCATCTTTCTTCTTTCCGGTCCGTAGAACCTTTCGAGTTTTAAACCTGTCCGCCGGAATTAAAAAAAAGAAAAGAAACAGCTGCAGCGGGTAGGCGGGCGATTGGGGAATGACAGCGGGAGACCAAACAGCAGACCTTCTTCCTCCTTCTTTCTCCTTCCTCAGCAGCAAATCGTCGGACGGGTGAACAGCAAGTCGGTAGGGTGGGGGAATGGGAGCGGCGACGGGTTGGGGGAACGGTGGTCGGACAATTGGTCCGAGTTAGGGATTACGGATTGAAATTGGGTATAGGGGTATAAATGTCAATTTAGTACATTTTAGGGCGAAATAATTTAAATTTTAGGGCAACGAATAGCAATTCAGTATAGGGTGACAGTCTGTGGCCGTTTCCTCCATTAATATCCGAAACGATCACTAAACTTTGCCTGTAGTTACAAAATAGCCACTGAACTTCAAAACCCTACCAAACTCAGCACTCACATTCTACAGTATGACTAATTTTAACCACCAATTAACTCGATTTGAATCAAGAATTCAAGGTAACAGGCAGCCGACGGGGGGGGTGGTGGAAACCGAATCTCCATGGGCGTTATTGCACTCTGCAAACACTGCTTCTACGGGAGGAATCACAGTAGGAGAGGATACAATGTGGACGTCCTCAAGGTGAACTCCCGTACACCCTGCAGCGCCACCGCAGTCGAAGTTGATCGCCCTCCCAACAGATGAAGTCCCGTTCACTCGCCGGAACCAAACGTCCCTGATTTCCACGTCGGATGATGACGGCGGCGGCGGCGCCGCCGTGGGATCTGCAGGAAGTAAGTGATGGTTCATGTACTCGTGGGTGATTATGATTGGGTTCCTGGTGTCTATCAGTATGATGTCCTCGTAGCTTATCTTCCTTGCATAGCCCCTTCCACCCTGCCACATGGCAACAAATTAAACCACATGCACTCAATTGCATAGTTTTGCACCAACTCGTGAGTACTTTAACAAGTGACCTAAAAAAACAAATCAACTCTGATTTCATGTTATGAACCAACTAGTCACAACAACTCGAGTTATTGGTGTTAGTAAATGGTAAATGATCCATTATATATGAAACATCTCCCAACAACTCGAGTTATTGGAATCGACTGGTTCTTGATGTGATATCAGAGTGTCTTCTGTGACTGAGATGTCTTATATATGTTCTATTCCCAATGACCCTTCATATGTTCTGTTAAGCACATGGTATCCGAACCTGTACAAATTTCAAGCCCGTATGAGTCCGCTTTCATTTGAGGGTGTGTTTTAGTAAATAGATATATTATCTATAATTGAACCCCTCTCAACAACTTGATTTATTGGGATCAACTGACTCGTGACACGATCGAGTTGTTGAGAAAGGTTCATGTACAAAAAACTTAACCACTTCTTTACACAACGCACCTGCCAAGTCTTGATTCGAGCACCGTTCCGGGTTCGGTAGAAAGTGCAGTTTCTGACGTGGACCTCCTCCACCGTCTCGTAAGCTCCACCTTTGCCCAGGCTTCCGACGCTGATCCCGTGTCCAGGCCCACAGGCGATCTCGGAGATGTTGATGAACGACGAGAACCCATTGATCGCGATGCAGTCGTCGCCTGAATCGGAACAAATTCATGTTAGGAAAATGGTATAAGATTTATTGTTGAACCTCTCTAAACAACTCGAGTCATTGAGATCAACCGGTTCTTGCCATGGTACCGATCAGGTGTGTGGTACCAGAGATTTATGATGAGTTGAATGAGTGAACAAGCTAGAACCTGTTGCAATGAAAGAGCTGCGGATTTGGACGTTGGTGGAGTAACAGACGTCGACGCCGTCGGTGTTGGGGCTGTCCTCCGGTCCGGTGATGGTGAGATGGGAGAGCTGGACATTGTTGCAGCCGTTCAAGCTGATGTGGTTCTTCTGGCTGTTCACGTGGTGCACTCCGCTGAGCTGCAGGTTGCTGCAGTTGTGGAACAACAGCGCCTGCATGCATGCACGGACGAATCAAATTAAAATGAAAGAGAGAAGAAAAAAAGTGCTATTCAGAGAGATGGAAGAGAAGCTTAGAGAGTTGAGTATCCTTACTCTGGGTCGCTCGAATTTATCGTTCTCCTGCAATGTATTCAAGTTCAAATTCTTTATAAGCTAATGTAATGTACTGTTTGTAAGAGAGGTTAAAAAAAAAACCCTAACAAACTCTTCCTTACTACTCGAGTTATTGACAATAAATGATTTGTTTGCTAATATAGTATTAGGGTTTTCAATTGAGAGGTCATGGCCTTTTATCCTTACGCACGACTAGGGATGTCAAAAATGACTTAATATTTGGGTTGCCCAAATTCAATTTATTATGGATCAAATCAAGTTTGAGTAATTTCACTTTTTGAGACATATCCGTATCCAACTTTTTAGTTTGGGTCTAAATTGAGTTCATAGTATTCGAAGTACAAAAGGACATGAGTACCCAATTATAAGACATTTTTTTCCTCATCTTTTGTTATGTAACAAATAGAAAGGTGAAAACGCGTACATTAAAAGTGTATAATTGGGTTGAAAGTAGTTAATGAAATGCTTTATATTATTTTGTATGTATACAATCATTTGGACCCAATTACACCCATGTGGGTCTAATCCACATGAATTAATCCAAATAACATTGGTTTGGTACAAGGGATGATATGTTCAACATGTACAAACTAAAACGCTAATGGTTTAGCATAAGGAATGATATGTTCAACCTATACAAACCGAAACCAGCAACTATTGGTCATTTTCGAACAACTCGAGTCATTAGAGTAAGTTAAACGTTGGTTAACACTTTTTTATTTCAAATATTATATATATATCCTCCATTAATATATGGTAGAGTTTTGTGTACTTTTCTCCATTTCAAATTTCCTGCAACGAGAGTGAAAATAGGAAGGTCATTTTTGTCTTTACACATTTATTATTTATTTCATATAAAAATAGCAATATCAAGATTTGAACCCGAGTCTCTTTAAACAAGGATAACAATCACAACCAGTTACACTAAACAAATTTATTGCATCCCTTTTGATACAAAACATAGACAAAGTTAATCTCTGAAAATCAGAGGACTTTTTCATCATAATTAGCAAGCTTACAAAGTCTACCGTATGTATTTTTATCGAGCTTGATACTTCTATTTCATAGTAGAGTTTCATGTAATTTTCTCAATTTTAAATACCCGCTCTCTCCTTAATTTTTACTAAAGGTAAATGGGTAATTGGCTAACATGGAAGAAACTAATTATGTAACTACGTGTTGTATCCTTGCATTTTTCAATTTAAATTTAAATTTTGTGCTTTTTTATCTTTGTTCTTTTCTCTTTCTAACTTCCTCCGAAATTTCATCCATCGTGCAATAGTTTGCGCCTTTCACTTCCCAATACAAGACTGTCATTAAAAATCAATCTTCAGGTATCTCTTGGCACTACGGTTTTATTGTTGGAGATTTTAAGCTGGGCGAGTAGAAGATTTCAACTCCGATATCAATCCATGGCGAATAGAATGGAGTTCATCAATAATTGGAGTTGTAGAAGGAGGATTAGAAATTGAATTTTTGGTTTAATATATGCCTCTTGAGATAGAAATTTGGTTGTACAACGGAGAGTGATGGCTATTGGATCTTTAGGTTTATGGTTTTTGCAACTGTCACAACCTATTTCTATCTTAAAACGAGGAATCATTGATTGATTGTTTGAAATAGGTCGCTTCTTTATTCAACCTACAGGAACTAATAGATAAGGAGTGTCTAATTTTGCACCTTATTACTTTGATCGAGTCTATTCGTATATTGGAGATAACCCTGATTTTTTCATTTGCTCTCAAGTTGTGATGGTCCCCCCTTAGCTGATTTTTTAGTATATAGATGACTTGAATCAACAACTCTCCATTTCTTTTTGATTAGTGACATATTGTTTCTAAAAGGAGAGCATTGAACCCTTTATATAGGATTGTGAGGTTTAAGATTTAGTTTCAAACTATCTATGGGTCGTGTGAGAATTTCAGTGAGCTTTTATACTCTATATTTCTTGACTGTAAAAAATAACTAACCAATAGCATTTTAACAGGGACTTAATTAGCATTATGAAAATGGGGTCAATGATACATTTTTATATTTTATATTCTTAAATGATTATGATATTTCTCCGAATGTCCGACCTATATATTATTTCTTTATGTATCATCTCGATCGAATGATTATCAATAAGATTAAGCAGGTTAATAGACTTAAAAATAACATAAAAATACAAATAATCAAATATGAGCATTCCGGCCAAAGGGCCGGATTATAAGCTAGTATATATTAATCGCTTACTCTGAAAAGCCGCCACCAGATCTCGCCGCGCCCGTCAATCCTGCCGCCGCCGTCGATGATCAAACCGAAGACATCCGAGAAGCGAAGCCAGTTCCCTCCCCTTTTATCATCCCATGCTTCGACGTTGTCCGGCGCCAGAATCGTACCTTGCAACTTCATATCAACAACATTAATACAATAATTCCTTCCTTTTGCCGCAGCTGGTCGTACTTAGGGTTTGGAAGAAAAAATAGATCTATCAAGGTTGGAGCTAAGAATTTTCTTGATGATTAATTACCTGGACATGAATGGCATTCGACTTGCAATTGCGACCGTTGAATACAACTGGGTTCAAGAGGAACGTCTGATTAGCTGGTATTAATAGCGTCGGAATCGCATTCTCCTTGCCACAAACGTCGGCCCATGCTTTCAAGAAACCCTTTTATCATATAACATAAAACGAAATCAACACGAGCCCACGGAAATGAATTAATCACTTCTCCTTTTAGCGACGGAACGATTTTCCGTCGCAATAGGTTACAAAATATCCCGCGGTCACAAAGACAAAAAAAAAACATGGTATCCTCGATCTGTATCGTTACAATTTTATCGAATGGTACCTGAGATGCTTCCGTTTTGCCATCTCCAACAGCGCCATAGCTTGTGACGTCGAAAATGTTACTTTTATTGTAAATTAGCATCGATGCAACAGTGGTACCACGACAGTAACAAGTAGTAGTAATAATGCTCTGTAATGAAATTAGGAAGAACACAATAGTGTTGAGAGTTGCTAGGCTGCCCTTCATGGTAATATATATTCGCGATCGATCAATTTGAGAGGAGCGCGGAGGAATCGAAATTTGGATAATCGTAATGTGTAAAATCAAAGGTTGAGTGGTAGAGAGATGATCGAAATAGAGGAGTTAAGTACTTATAATTTATAAGTGATCGTGATGTATTAATTGGTATACACTGACAAGAATTTACTTAAGTGTAGCGATTGAATGGTAAGTAATATATAACGGTGTTCGCTGCTCTGAAGTTACGACACTGGGGTTTCAGCATTATTCATAACACATGGAGCACATGTCATTAGCATTGATTCATCGTGGGATTTTAGGATATCTTCTTGGAGTTTTTTTTTTAACTTTTTTTGGCGTGGACCAAGTTTGACTAGAAACCTATGAGGCTATGATCGTGGAAAATAGTTGAATATTCCATCTCTTACTTCATTTGCTTTATTTGGTAATCGAAAACAAATTAAAAAAAAAACGTAATTGTTTCAAGAGGAATAAAATTTGAAAAATAAAAATATGTTTAGCTTGAAAATTTTCATAAGTTATGAATCAGAAATCTTAATGATAGTATATTGTTTGAAATGATAGTATATTATTTATAATCAAAGTAAACAAAAGTTGAATGATTTACCTTATAAAAACGATAAATTAAATTTATTAAATATAAAAATGAGAAAATAAAAAATAATTAAATATTTTTTTTATGGAACTCATCTACTATAGTGATGACAATGTGAACCCGCCCCGTCAGGTATTACCCGACCTGACCCGTAATGGGAAGGGTAATACATGACCCGAGGGGCGGAGCATGGTACTACTTTCGCTCGGCCCCGCTGATGTAAGCGGAATTCGGGAATCCGAACTCGCTCACGAATGAGAATACGCAGCTCTAACTTTTTAGGGTTTTTTCTTGGATTTTCTCAAGAACACAAAAATAAAAAGATATGATGGAAAGGGATTGTCGTGCAACTTCAACATACGGGAAGAGGCTTGGTTCTCACAATTGGCTCACCGAAAATTGGAGGTTAAGGGTTTGTTTTGAAGATAAAGTATCCCTCTTCAAGTTGGAATGGTTTTTGGATCCAGACAAATTCATTAAGGTTCTTTTCCAAGGCCTCAAAGTTGCTATCTCAAAACAGGAAAACTGCCAGAATCTGTCCAAGTATAAATCTGTGTTCATGAAGCCTACTTTGGAGGTCAATTCGAGGAGCATGGAAGAGATTCAAGTCCAAAGGCTTCTACAACATGCAAATAGGTATGTTTATCTATCAAGGGAAGGAATTGGATGAAAGATTGGAGTTCTGGAAGGCCTAAAAACAAAATGCGCGAAGTTAGTACAAAAGCTGTTTTTGGACTGTTTGCTGGCAGCTTACTTGTGCTTCAAGAAAGAAAGTTTGGGTTCGAATTTTGTGTCCTTTTTAGGGTAGAATTTTTCTTTATTTGTTTCCTTGTTCATATAGGTTTGTATTAGGTTTTCTTGGCTATAAATAGCCTTCTATTTCGTTGTAAAAATTCATACTTTGATTAATCGAATTGAGAACCTTTTGGTTTTTGTGCAAGTTGCGACTTGTGTTGAGTTTGGTGGATTCCAAGCTCGGGAGCTCTTGTATCGATTGAATAGTCACTTCAATCGTGGTCGGGCATCTATCATTATACCAATCGAGCCTTTCCCCAGGTGAGGAATTGCAGTTTTGGTTTCGTTTTATCCAAGTTCGTATTAAGGACACTTCGTTCTTGATTCAAGCTCAATCGATCCTTAGTTGCGTGACTTTGATAACATACACCCCTCAGGGGCGTATTACCCGCTCTGTCCAGACCCATTCTTACTAGATTTGTCTCAATATTTAACTACATTTCTCCTATTTTTACTAATCTAAATCATATTTTCACCCAATGATAGTTTAGAGAAGTGCAACACATCATTTTTCAACTAACTTCACTCAGTTAGTCTACCTATTATATCTATTTTCAATTTATTAACTAATTTCCCTTCATTTTTATCGTTAAAAATAAATATTTGTTTCAGTACATATAAGAACGGGTCGAATTGCCCTTGTTGATGTGACTTGAATCGGACTATCAGCCGCTACGACTGGTAATCGGGTTCTGGGCCTGGTCTGTAACCGTTTCCTTTGCCAGATTGGATTAGGTTTAGACCCACATGGAGAAGTACTATAAATACTTCTCATACTCCTCTGTAATCTGTAATCTCCTCAATATAGTGAAACTGACTCTCTCTCGCCCGTGGACGTAGCTAATACACATCGTGTTAGTGAACCACGTAAATCGTGTGTCTGTGTTTTCGATTATCGCTTTCGTATTCTTGCTTTGTCGATTCCTGCGATTTCCCGATCCGTAGCAGCGCGTTTTATAACAAGTGGTATCAGAGCCGCGGCTGGAAATCAGGCTAGGGTTTTTGATTCAAAAGAATGACGTCGGTGTACATGAAGATCGAAAAGTTCACGGGGAAGAACAGCTTCGCTATATGGCAAATCAAGATGCAGGCTTTATTAAAACAGCAAGGCCTGTGGGGCTCGCTGTCTGCGAAACAGAAGAAGGCAGCGGTCGATGACGATGAGTGGAACACCCTGGAGGAGAAGGCCCACTCGACCATCATGCTATCGTTGTCTGATGACGTCATCATTGAAGTCGCTGCTGAGAAGACTGTCGCGGGCTTGTGGTTGAAACTAGAGAGTCTGTACAGGACTAAGTCTCTAACCAACAAGCTGCATCTCAAGCAACGGTTGTTCAGCTTGAGGATGCAAGAAGGTACGCCTTTGAGGGAACATCTCGAACAGCTTAACTCTATTTTGCTGGATCTGCGTAATATAGATGTTCAAGTTGATGACGAGGATGCTGCCCTAATCCTGCTGGTTTCTTTGCCGAGTTCATATGAGAATTTTGTTGATTCTTTTTATTGCTGGTAAAGAAAGCGTGTTGTTGGAGGATGTCAGGTCTGCTCTTCATACGAGAGAGATCAGGCATAAGGCGTCTGGATCTGGTACAGGTGGTGAGGCATCGGGTTTGGCTGTTACAGGTGGAAAGGGAAAGAAGAAATCTGGTAAAGGGAATTCGAACAAGAATTCCAAGGGTCCCGGTCCACAGCCAGGTGATGCTTGTCACAACTGTAAGGAAGTGAGGCATTGGAAGTACAACTGTCCCAAGAGAAGAGGGCAACAGAAGAAACAAGGTTTTGTTGCCGTGGCAGAAGCGGACAACAGTTCTGAAGACGATCTCGCCTTGGCTGTAGATGAGAAGGCACATCGTGGGGATGTGTGGTTTCTGGATACTGCAGCCTCATACCATATGTCTCCGAACAGGGATTGCTTCACAACCTACGAGCAGATAGATGGTGGTAACGTGGTCATGGCTAATGGAGCTGTCTGCAAGGTTGTTGGAATCAGGTCCATAAAGGTTCGGACACATGATGGTTCGTTCTGTACCGTGAATGATGTCAGGCATGTTCCACGAATGACAAAGAACCTGATCTCCTTGAGTCTACTCGACAGCAAGGGTTTCAGTTTCAAAGGAAAAGGTGGAGTTGTGTATGTCTGCAAAGGTTCGAGGAAGGTACTGAAGGGCGTGAAGCGTGGGACCTTGTATGCATTACAAGGGTCTGTGTTGTCTGGTTCTGCTGCAGTTGCATCATCTCAGGTTCATCAGGAAGATATGACCACTCTCTGGCACATGAGACTGTGGCATATGAGTGAACGGGGGATGCAAGCTCTGTCGAAGAGGGATCTTCTTTGCGGGCACAAGATGCAGAATTTGGAATTCTGCGAGCATTGTGTGTTTGGGAAGCTACATCGCAGCAAGTTTCCCAAGAAGGGTATCCACCGGACAAAGGGGATACTAGATTACCTCCACTCCGACTGTTGGGGTCCTTCACGAGTTGAATCCATTGGAGGCAGCAGGTATTTTCTGTCTATTATTGATGATTATTCGAGATTTACTTGGATTTTCATGATGAAGCAGAAAAGTGAGGCTTTCACGAAGTTCAAGCAGTGGAAGACATTGGTGGAGAATCAGACCGGGAAGAAGATCAAGAAGCTGCGAACGCACAATGGTCTAGAGTTCTGTAGTTCTGAGTTCAACGAATTCTGCAAGGATGAAGGGATTGCCCGTCATCGGACTGTGAGAGATACACCCCAGCAGAATGGCGTTGCATAAAGGATGAACCAGACATTGTTGGAGAGAGCACGGTGCATGCTCTCTAATGCTGGACTAGAGAGAAGATTCTGGGCAGAAGCAGTGAACATGGCATGCTTCCTTATCAACCGTGGACCTCACACAGGTATTGAGTTGAAGACTCCTTATGAGGTGTGGTATGGTAAGCCTGCTGATTACTCTTCACTGAAAGTTTTTGGGTGTCCTGTTTATTATCATGTGGATGAGGGTAAACTGAACCCAAGGGCAAAGAAGGGTGTATTTGTGGGTTACGGAGATGGAGTTAAGGGATTTCGAGTCTGGTCACATCGAGTTATACTTAGTAGAAATGTGATATTTGATGAGAAGTCTATGTTTAACCCCATGTTGAAGGTTACTGTTGTTGAAGGTAGCAGGAATGTTGATAAGCAGGTGGAGCTGCAAACTCTCAATGAGAGTGAGTTTGAGCACCAAGGTGGAGAAGATCAACATGATGAGGATGTCTCTGCAGAGCCAGAAACTTCAGAGTCCAGTGCACGAGCTCAACAGTCTATGGCTTCTGGTAGACCGAAGAGAGCGACTGCAGGAGTACCTCCACAGAGGTATGGTTTCGAGGACATGGTGGTGTATTCATTTCAGGTTGCTGAAGAAGTGGATGCAGGAGAGCCACGATCCTATAGAGAAACCGTTTCGGGTGGCGAAGCTGATTAGTGGCTTGCCGCAATGGGAGATGAGATGGAATCCCATGGCAGGAATCAGACTTGGGAGCTAGTCAAACGACCACAGGGAAGGAAGATTGTTACAAACAAGTGGATCTACAAGAAGAAGGAAGGAATCACTTCTAAAGAGGGCATGAAATTTAAAGCTCGGGTGGTTGCACGAGGCTTCTCGTAGAGGGAAGGAGTTGACTACAATGAGATTTTCTCACCAGTGGTCAGACATACTTCGATCAGAGTGCTACTAGCAATAGTGGCACATTATGACTTGGAGCTCGAGCAGCTAGACGTGAAGACAGCTTTCCTACATAGAGAGTTGGAGGAAGAAATTTACATGACTCAGCCAGAAGGATTCGAGGTTCCGGGAAAAGAAGACTATGTTTGTAAGCTGAAGAAGTCCTTGTATGGACTTAAGCAGTCTCCGAGGTAGTGGTACAAGAGATTTGACAGTTACATGCTTGAGCTGGGCTATAGCAGAAGTCCATATGATTGTTGTGTGTATCACAACAAGGTGGAGGATGGTTCGATGATCTATCTGGTTCTGTATGTGGATGATATGCTCATAGCTGCGAGGTCAAAGTCTGATATCCAGAAGTTAAAGGGGCTTCTTAGTGCTGAGTTTGAGATGAAGGATTTGGGAGCTGCTCAGAAGATTTTGGGTATGGAGATTTACAGGGACAGGTCGAAGAAGAAGCTTTTCTTGTCACAGAAGAGCTACATCCAGAAGATATTGTCGAGGTTTGGCATGTTTTCAGCAAAGCCCTTAAATACTCCTAGTGCATCAAATGTTCATCTATCCTCAGCTTATGCACCGCAGTCAGAGGCTGAGAAGGAGTACATGTCGAGAGTCCCATATGCTAGTGCAGTAGGTAGCTTGATGTACGCTATGGTATGCACTAGACCTGATCTTGCACATGCTGTTAGTGTTGTCAGCAGGTTTATGATACAACCTGGGAAGGAGCATTGGCAGGCTGTGAAGAGGATCTTTCGGTACCTTAAGGGTACACCTGATGTGGGGATTAGCTTCGGAAGTGATACAGAGTGCTTGGTGTCTGGGTATTCTGACTCGGACTATGCTGGAGATGTTGACACGAGGAGATCGATGACCGGTTATGTATTCACTCTTGGGAGTTCTGTAGTGAGCTGGAAGGCAACTTTGCAGTCGGCGGTGACATTGTCTACTACTGAGGCAGAGTATATGGCGTTGACAGAAGCTGCTAAGGAGGGAATATGGCTGAAGGGACTGGTTGGTGATCTGGGTCTACATCATGATCAGGCAGTGGTGTATTGCGACAGTTTGAGTGCAATATGTTTGGCCAAGGATCAAGTCCACCATGAGAGGACTAAGCACATCGACGTGAGGTATCATTTCTTGAGGACAGAGAAGAGGATTAAGGTGAAGAAGGTTGGCACCGCGGATAATCCTGCTGATATGTTCACGAAGCCGGTTCCACATGGCAAGTTCCAACACTGCTTGAACTTGCTGAATGTCTTGAGTGGGTGACTCCGCCCTGCGGGGCATTGATGGCGGGAGAGAGATAGAAGGAGCAGAGTACATCAGAGATTTCAGAGGAAGAGGATTCAAGTCAAGGTGGAGATTTGTTGATGTGACTTGAATCGGACTATCAGCCGCTACGACTGGTAATCGGGGGTCTCGCTGTTATTTGGGTTCGGGTTCTGGGCCTGGTCTGTAACCGTTTCCTTTGCCAGATTGGATTAGGTTTAGACCCACATGGAGAAGTACTATAAATACTTCTCATACTCCTCTGTAATCTGTAATCTCCTCAATATAGTGAAACTGACTCTCTCTCGCCCGTGGACGTAGCTAACACACATCGTGTTAGTGAACCACGTAAATCGTGTGTCTGTGATTTCGATTATCGCTTTCGTATTCTTGCTTTGTCGATTCCTGCGATTTCCCGATCCGTAGCAGCGCGTTTTATAACAGCCCTGACCCATACATACGCGGGTATTATGCGACCTAACTCGCGCTTGGTACGAGGCGGGTATCGTTATTGAGGTACTCACTCCACCCCGTGGCGTAGCCAGGATTTCGTCTAAGGTGGTTGAATATTATGAAAAATTGAAATACACTAGCAGTCATAAACATCAAGAATATCAATATATGTACCAAACAATTATTAATGATTTAGTTAGTCATTTTGTTTCGAAAGGTGTTCGTTGTCAATAATTTATGGTTTAGTTAGTCATTAGCTTTCAAATGTTCTTTGTTAAGAATCGTTTAGCATACTTTATATCATTTACTAGCATGCTCCCTCGTAAGAAATTCAGCTTAAACGAAAAATTGAAGTTTGCACAAATCTAAATACAGTGTGCTTAAGAAATGAGGTCGTCAAAATTCAAACATCAAAACATTTCGATCAACTATTCTCAATAAAACACACACCAATTTTCCGTGTGAAAACTTGTACCTAATTTAACCATTTTACTTCCGAACCAGGGACCCACCCCGCTACACTCTCCCTCCGCCACTTATTCCCTCCTGCCTCATTACCATCACTAAAATCACAGTTACTAAACAAAATTTGTCATACTCTATTTTAAACAATTAAAAGAGTTGAAATCCTCATATTAATGGAAAATCATGAGATTCAGACTCTAATTTTCAAAACCAATAATAAATTTCTAAGTTATTTTAATTTTCCTTAAGTATGCTGTTATGTAGTTCGGTGAGAAACTATAAAAATCTCGCCTGTGTAGGAAAATATATAAGAACTTAACCCATTTTCTTTGAAGTGTATGAAAATCTGAAAATTGAGGCTTGCAGTGGGTTCTTGACCAGCCGTAATTTTGTTCGGTATTTGATTCCTTCCACCTTCAGAATCGGGATTTTGAAGTCGAAACAAAGCAAGAATCATTAGCTTGTTCAATTTGTATAACAGGAATCTTTTAATAGTTTATTAACCTAAGGAATTAAAATAAAAGGAAGAGGAGTAGTAACTAGTAAGGTTCAAAGGTTATGATGTGACGATGATGCCTCATGGAAAAACAATAACAAAACAAAAAAAATAGTTGAAAAGGAAAATAGCAGCAGAATTAGTGGCTCGAAAAAAATTTAATATTGTAATCGAAGATATGATAAAGTCGATTTAGTTATAATGTTATATTACAATTTGATTTCATGGGTAATGTTTATTTTTTATCCAAACTTTTTTTTAAAATCTTTTATATTATTCAAACCTAATAAAATACTATTAATTAGCCAAATCTTTCGTAATGCATCAAAATATATATTAGCCATTTTTATGTCATCGTTAATAATTTTGTAACTCTTTTCTTAGTTAAAAACGAGGTAATTGAAACGAGTCAATTTTTACCTTGTCGTTTGGATGGATCAATTTAGAAATGAGTCAATTTGATCAATTGTCTCGTTTTATAAACGAGACAATTAAAACGAGTCAATTCGAATTACCTGCCCCCACCCCAGGTAATTGAAATTGACTCAAAACGGATCAATTCAAAATACCTCAGGCAGATTGATCCATCCAAATTTTTTGCTGGCAAACGAGGCAATTTGGTACAATTGTGTTAAAACGAGACAATTATGTCAAATTGATCCGTTACAATTCCTCATCCAAACGACCCATTTAATTTAGCAATGTTGACCTTCATGTGTCTCTTTTAAGTAAATATCATGTTGACAAGTCAATATTACTAACAAAATTGCTAACTGAAAGTTAGCATTTGAATAATTCTTAGTATTTCAATAAATTTGGATAATATAAAAGAACCTGAAATTTTTTTGGATAAAAAATAGACATTACCCCGATTTCATATATAAAACGTAGAAACTCAAACTAGCATGAATGATTGAGTTGATCTACTTCTGGATTGGCATATGTATTGAAGAATAAACAAAAGTGAGGTCACGATCTGATTCAGACCCGTAATATCAATTCCAACAACCCAACTGCCCAATAAAAATGGAATATATATATGTAAAAACTCCCAATTAATCCATTATTAATCATAAAAGCTCCCAATTTCAATTTTCAAACCACCCCACTAGTCCATATTCCATACAGCAAAGCAGCCGTGCCTAGCAATCTATAGTATTTTTTTTTTTTTTTTGCACGCATCAATCTCAAATGGGCGATAATTGGCTGCTTACTGGGTTGCAGCGCATGGCTGCTACCCATTGACGTGCCAGCATACAATTGGTTCATAGAATTAACATTTAATTATTGAACTTAATAACAAGGACGGGAGACGGAACGGACGGAATCCTTTTTCTTGGACGGAGAAGCAACCAAACGGTGCTGTGTCTTTAACTTTTATTCCATTATTATATTCTATTATATATTTCTTTTATTAATTGGAAAAAGACATATAATAAAATTAAACACAGAGGTGCAGCCTCTTTAGGTTTTATTGCGTACTCAGATATCAAATCAGCGCCGACGACGGCATCTTTTCTTCTCACTGCCGGCTTCTTCCTAGCTCTAGTATCCATTGTGCAATTGCGTTCAACTCCTCCAACGCCCGCAACTGGAAGACAGTTTGATAAAATAATCTCTACTACTACTTTGACTGCCTTCGACGCTAGCTTTCGGAGACCTCCAAATCAAGTCGAAAAGGTAAGATATGGATGCTAGGAGTTCATCTAAAACTAGTCTAATTAAATATGATGGTTTTGCATTAATATGAACTGGTTTTGTTTTACGGTACACAACCAACATATATGAAAGGAAAAGCTTTTCATTAGGTTAATATTAATTAAAATTTTTATTTTGTTGTTTGTGTATGCAGGTTTTCTTTGTGAAACTTGTATTTCTTGTAAAGAGGAACACATATGAGTTTTGCGGAAAAAGTTGAAGTGCCATGTATAGGTATGAAGTTCGATAGTGATGAAAGTGCTTATGAATTTTATAAAGCATATGCCCACAGTATTGGTTTCAGTGTAAGGAAGGACAATATAAAGCGAAATCAAGTCGGGCAAGTGAAGAGAAGAATATTTTGCTGTTCTAAAGAAGGTGAAAAAGGGTTTGATAAAAGGCGTGAGCATGTGGCTTTTGAGCGACCAATTTCAAGAATTGGATGTTTGGCACATATGACATGCCAACTAAAAAATGATGGCTTGCTAGAGGTTGTTTCTTTTGAAGGAGATCATAACCATGAACTTGCTCCCACTCCCATGAAGCACATGTTGAGATCCAACAGGAAGATAAGTTATGCTCAGAAGGCTATTGCAGATGATGCTGAGAGAGCTGGGTTACCAATCAAAGCAACTATTGATTTACTAGCAATTCAGAATGGAGGTCGTGAAAACAACGGGTTTCTAGATTCAGACTATAGAAACTATATTGCTACCCAAAGAAAGGCTACAATGATAAAGGGAGATGGTCCGGCAATTATGGATTATTTTAGTAAAGCACAATCAGCCGATCCATCATTTTTTTATTCGGTGCAACTTGATGATGATGATTTTATCATGAATATGTTCTGGGTTGATGGTAGGTCAATCATTGACTACAAGTACTTTGGAGATGTTCTATGCTTTGATACCACTTATAGAACTAATGAATATGGTCGACCATTTGCTCCATTTGTTGGAGTCAATCATCTGAAGCAAACAGTAATTTTTGGGGCAGCATTACTCTATGATGAAACAATCACTTCCTTCAAGTGGTTGTTTGAAGCGTTTTTGGGTGCAATGGATGGAAAGCAACCTAAGACTATTTTGACAGATCAATCAGCTGCAATGGCCAAAGCAATCGAAGAGGTATTTACTGAAACTCATCATCGTTTATGTGTTTGGCATATTTATCAAAATGCTGCTAAGCACTTGAGCCATGTGTTTCACGGATCCGACCAATTCTCTAGTGATTTTAGTTCATGTATATATGATGGTGAAGATGAAGATGAATGGCTTAAAGGTTGGGATGATATGCTTAACAAGTATGGTCTGCTGAACAATGAATGGTTGCAAGGTATATTTTCAATAAAAGAAAAGTGGGCTATGGTTTATGGACGTCATATGTTTACTGCTGATATGAAAAGTACACAGCGTAGTGAATCAATTAACAGTGTGCTAAAAAAGTATCTGAAGCCGAAGCACAATATGGTTACTTTTTTTTACCATTATAACAAGTTGGTAGAAGATAGAAGGTACCAAGAGTTGCTTGCAGAGTTCAAAATGAGGGACACCCGCCCTGTGTTAAAAGCTGACGTTGAGATGTTGAGGCATGCATCAGAAGTGTACACTCCTAAAGTCTTTAAGTTGTTTGAAGAAGAATATCTGAAATTTTGGGATTGTACGATTGATAAGATCAGCAAAACTGAAGGTCGGGTGGAATATAAAGTGAAATATGATGGTAGAGGTGCAGGGCATCGTGTATGGTTTGAGTCTTCATCACAAGCAGTTGAATGTAGTTGCATGAAGTTTGAGTTTGTGGGGATTTTATGTGCTCATGCTTTGAAAGTTATTGACAAGAAAAATATAAAGCACATCCCACAGCAATATATATCAAAGAGGTGGACAAAGGATGCAAAAGATGGGGATTTGAGAAGTTCAGTTCGAGTGCAGGGAAGTTCTGAGAAACTCACAGGGAAGCGTTACTTCAATATGCATTATAATTTTCGAGAGATATCTGCACTGGCAGCTGAGAGCGACAGAATGTATGAGCATGCAAGTGAAGTTTTTTCAAATTTGCTGAAGGATTTGCAGGAAATGAAGAAGTGCTCAAATGGTGGAACTTCTAATGAGATATTATGTTCTAATAATGAAGAAGAGTATCCAACTGTAGCAGGAGTTAAATCAAAAGCTACTATTGGACGACCAAAAGGAAGAATTAGAGGTGCATTAGAGCGACAAAAAAGTCACAAAGTTCAATCAAAATCAAAGGTTCTGCCCCTCCCTTGTTTGTTTTTATAATATAAAACTATTATAATATTTATTTATATTAGTTATTCACTATATATTATTTATTATACAGGGTAAGAAGGTGAAAGCTAGTTCTTCTCGGCAAGTAGAAAGCAGTATTGAAGTGCAAATACAGAATAATCAGGTTTTTCTTTGTCTGTTTTATATTTCAAAGAAATATGATAGTGTTTTTATAATGAGATAAGTGAAAATATCATATGAATAATATCTTAACAATTGGTTGATTTTAGGTGATGAACAATGATCAATTTAAAAGATCAATTATTAGTTCAGCTGGAGAAAACTTGGAATCTACACCTTGTGTAAGCAATATATCATTCACACAATTGTTACAGGTATGAATTCAATTTTATTATTTATTTATTTATTTTGATTTTATTGAAAATTTCAAGACTAATATCATTCTTATCTTATTTTTTGCAGGACATATCAAATCCACACATATACGATCCTGAACACTGATAATGTTTATTTTTTCTTGATACCTTAGTAAGATTATTATTATGTCTGAAGAGATTATTTTCATATGATTTATTTTTGGCATTTAGGGGATGAATTTCGTACTTTTGTTTTTTGGTACAATTTGTTTGGGATGGATGCTTTGGCCTTTGTGGTATTCTACTATACTGAATGCATTTGATAGTATGTTCTCTAAATTTTAGATTATATCTATATAAAATTATTTGTAAACAAAATATATTGGGCATATATGGTACAATTTAATATGCTTCTAATAGTACATAAAGAAGGTGAAAAGTATTGACCGTGAGGTTGAAGACAAAATGAGACATGGAGGTATATAATATTAGGCTGGAATGCATGTACAAAAGAGGCAGGACCTCTGTGTTTAATTTTATTATATGTCTTTTTCCAATTAATAAAAGAAATATATAATAGAATATAATAATGGAATAAAAGTTAAAGACATAGCACCGTTTGGTTGCTTCTCCGTCCAAGAAAAAGGATTCCGTCCGTTCCGTCTCCCGTCCTTATTATTAAGTTTAATAATTAAATGTTAATTCTATGAACCAATTGTATGCTGGCACGTCAATGGGTAGCAGCCATGCGCTGCAACACAGTAAGCAGCCAATTATCGCCCATCTCAAATAACGTCACTCAACTTCGCAGCCACTACTTAAATCTAGAATAGCTAATACAACGATATTAATTCTTTTCGTGATCGTCGATCAAGTTATTTTTTCATCTAAATTATCTTCAATACTAAACAAACTTCACTAAATCGATAGTAAGAAAAATGACGCGTATACGTATCTCGAATAAGCTATCAAAGAGTGGAGGAAGCACTACGTGACTTTAGCTAATCAGGCCCTATGCAATCTTCTTAATAACTAGTTTTTGTCAATCCACTTTTAATTTGGATGGTTTCAACAAATATTTGATCGAGATTGACGTAAAAGCAATTATGTTAATTATTTCAAACTTTAAGCGCAATTTAATTCATCAAAGTTGACCATTAACGTAACTGGCCCGGATTTGCATTGGACACATACAATTACACGTGCTATGAGCCCATCATTTTTAGTCAATAGTAATGGCTGGCAAAACAGCAAAAAGGCCAAATTATCCAAAATGCCACTTCACAAGTCAATCAAAGCGGAAAAGGCTGGCGGGCTTTCTGGAGACAAATTTACATATGTCCACACTTTGTGATGGCAATTTGAACCCGTCCCGCGGGTATTACTCGATCTGACTTGCGATGGGGCGGGTATTATCCGACCTGCAGTAGCGTGGGGCGGGGCATGGGTATCTATTTCCGACCCGCCCTGCCCCGTCCCGTTCTAGACTCATTTATCTCAATTTCTTACAATATCTATACATATTTCTCCTATTTTGACTTTTCTTCAACTAGTTAGAGTCGATCTTTCAACTTGTTAGGCTCAATTATCCATTCTATTATCAATATTTTTCATTCTTAAAGTGTTTTTCCTACGTTTTGTTGTAAAAAGTAAAATTTACTTGTATTTTTTTTTAACAACATGTAAGAGTGGGTCGACCCGTCCCGTCCCGTACCCGTGCGAATTTTACCCGCCCCGACTTGTAGTAGCGTAGAGCGAGAAATGGGAATTGAGGTACTTGCCCCGCCCCATCCCATCCCATTGCCATCACTATCCACACTCTAGCCAGTGCCCTGTCTATTTTCGTAATTTTAAAAACAAGGATTGACGGTTGACCCGTAGAAATCGGGCCTTGGGCCCGCATCTCGAGGCCGCCAATAATTCATTAATTAATTGCTCTATTTATCCATTTTCCCGCTCCTAAATCCATGGAAAATTACGAACCTCACCCCCTTTTTATCACCCTCTCCATCCGAATCCTCCACATTTCTGCGTCTTTACGGTAAATGCCCCTACCCCAATTCACATTAAAAAGAAGGGGGAGCCGGCGATATAAAAAGCACAGGCTCCGGCAATTTGCTCTCCCACTCCCAAAAATGGCGACCGAGAGAAACTTCGGCGACGGCGGCGGCCGGGAAGAGGAAAGCTACTACGCCGACGAAGTGGAGGAGAAGACGAGGATGAGGCGGAACAAGTTCGGCAAGACGATGTCGTCTTCCATGGAACTGGAGCTGGATTCGGTGGAGAAGATCTTCGAGGCGAAGGAGGTGCCGCCATGGCAGAAGCAGCTCACGGTCAGGGCGTTCGTCGTCAGCTTCATCCTAGGGGTTTTGTTCACCTTCATAGTCATGAAGCTCAACCTCACCACCGGCATCATCCCGTCGCTCAACGTCTCCGCCGGATTGCTCGGGTTCTTCTTCGTCAAGACCTGGACCAAGCTGATCCAGAAGGCCGGCATGCTCAAACAGCCGTTCACTCGCCAGGAGAACACCGTCATTCAGACCTGCGTCGTCGCGACTTCCGGAATCGCATTCAGCGGTAACCGCTCCTCCCTTCGTTTTTTTCCTGTTTTGAGTTAATTGCTTTCTTCGGAAGTGAAAATGGCGATTGAATTGGTTGTTGAAGCAAAATTAGGGGTCCTCTTTGTGTCATTTTCTCGAATCTGCTTTTCGTTTGCTGCAATTGAGTTCAGTTTCCGTTTCGGTAAGATTGCAACATTTGCCGGGAAATTGTTCGGGTCAGGCGGTAGCATCAACCGGCGGGGAAGTAGTGGTGAATTGACAATGAAATCGAATCTCTAGTGAAGAAACCTGCTAGGAAATCGATGTTGCTTGTTGAAGTCAACTGAGTTTCTGGAAATGAGAGGCGAAATTTTGGTGGAACTCTGATTTGGTTCTGATTACTGTTGTCACTGTCAGTTGGGGGGGTTCGATTTTGTGTTCTTGAGAGTTCTGTTATGGCTGATGCAGGTGGTTTTGGAAGTTATCTATTTGGGATGAGTGATATCGTTGCCAAGCAATCCAAAGAAGCAAACAGTGCGCAGAATATCAAGGACCCGTCACTGGGATGGATGATTTCGTTCCTTTTTGTAGTCAGCTTTCTTGGCCTCTTCTCTGTGGTTCCTCTCAGAAAGGTACCTTTTCCATTGATCAAATATGGTTCTTCGGTTTCAAGTCTATTTCAAAGTTGAATTCTGATGAGATACCTTCGGTTGTCCTCACCACATAAGCCTAGAAAATTTCTGATGAATCCAAAGTAGCTCTAACAAAGCAATCATGACCTGATCTGGAAATAGACTCGATTTTGGTCTATATGCTATCATCATTGCTATACAATCTTAACAGAAAGGCACTGTATATCTTACGTTCTCGCCATTCTCTTGACAGATCCATCATACTTCTCTAATTGGAAAGGCCAGGGTTACAGATTTACAGTAGAACAGAACTTGGGCTCTTTACTTAACTTTATAGTTTTTGCGTTAATGATTCAGATTATGGTGGTAGACTTCAAGTTGACATATCCAAGTGGCACTGCAACTGCTCATCTTATCAATAGTTTCCATACTCCTCAGGGTGCTAAGCTAGCCAAGTGAGTACCTTCTACACTCTTTTTCCTCCCTGTTCTTGCTTATCTGATTTTCGATCTAACGAGCAGTCGGGTCTCAGTCTCACTAACTAGCACATGTCCTCCCAATGCAGGAAGCAAGTGAGAGCACTGGGGAAATTCTTCTCCTTCAGCTTCCTGTGGGGCTTCTTCCAATGGTTCTTCACTGCAGGGGATGGCTGTGGATTCGTGAATTTCCCTACTTTCGGTCTCCAGGCCTATGAACACAAGTAAGAACCCACCTCTTCCCTCTCTTCCCAAGTGTGTCCTTTCGCGTCGTTTCAATCTCGGGTTCGTGATCATCATCACTGCAAATGCAGATTCTTCTTTGATTTCTCTGCAACTTACGTTGGTGTGGGAATGATCTGTCCATACCTAGTCAACATATCTCTGCTACTTGGAGCAGTTGTATCCTGGGGTCTCATGTGGCCTATGATTAACAACCAGAGAGGTAACTGGTACCCTGCTGACCTCCCACCAAGCAGTCTTTCCGGCCTGCAAGGTTACAAGGTAACTAATAATCCTCAATTGAATGTTCATCCTTTAACATAATCCCATCTAACCCGAAAAATTTTCACTCTTTCCCTCTCAGATATTCATCGCCATAGCCATGATCCTCGGCGACGGCGTCTACAACTTCATCAAAGTCTTCGGCCGAACCATACAAGGCTTATACAACCAGTTCTCACGTAAAGACCCATCCATCACCACCGTCCTCCCAGTCGCCGGCGCCGGCGGCGGCAGCGGCAACTCGACATCCCCGACCACCCTTCCCCCACCACTCACCTACGACGAACAGAGACGCACCGAGCTCTTCCTCAAGGACCAAATCCCAGTCTGGATCGCCGCCGGCGGCTACATCTCCATCGCCGTAGTCTCCGCCGTCCTCGTCCCCCACATCTTCCACCAGCTCCATTGGTACCACATCGTCGTCATCTACATCATCGCACCAGTCCTCGCATTCTGCAACGCGTACGGCACCGGTCTCACCGACTGGTCTTTAGCCTCCACCTACGGCAAGCTCGCCATCTTCACCATCGGCGCGTGGGTCGGCGCGTCTCACGGCGGAGTCCTCGCCGGTCTGGCCGCCTGCGGCGTCATGATGAACATCGTCTCCACAGCTTCCGACCTGATGCAGGACTTCAAGACCGGATACATGACTCTGGCCTCCCCACGCTCCATGTTCATCAGCCAGGTAATCGGGACCGCGATGGGCTGCGTGATCGGCCCATGCGTCTTCTGGCTGTTCTACAAGGCCTTCGACGATTTGGGCCAGCCCGGGTCCGAGTATCCGGCCCCATACGCGCTCGTCTACCGCAACATGTCGTTGCTTGGAGTGGAAGGCTTCTCTGCTCTGCCGAAGAACTGCCTGATGCTCTGCTGCATCTTCTTCTCCGCTGCAATTCTCGTCAATGGAGTTAGGGACTTGGTCGGCCCGAGGTGGGCCAAGTTCATACCGCTGCCCATGGCGATGGCGATACCGTTCTACCTCGGCGGGTACTTCGCCATCGACATGTGTGTTGGGAGCTTGATATTGTTCGTGTGGGGGAAGGTAAACAAGGAGAAGGCGGATGCGTTCGGGCCGGCTGTTGCGTCGGGGCTGATCTGTGGGGATGGGATATGGACGCTGCCGAGCTCGATACTGGCGTTGGTCGGTGTGAAGCCGCCGATCTGTATGAAGTTCTTGAAGGGGGGAGTGAACACCAGGGTTGATGCTTTCTTGAGGACGAATTAGATTTGATGGAAATTCTTTCTGAGTAGAGTTGTAAGTAGTGGTGGGTTGCAAATGGACCCTTTTGTTGTTCCATAATTTTCTTCTCTTCGTGTTGTTGTAGTCACCATCTCTGCTGTCTTTGTTTCAGAGCAGTTGTTGATCTCTTGCCAAATGTGTAATTAGATTGATGGTGAAAATTCGTAACCAGAAAGAAAAAATTGATAGTTGAAAAGTTGGTGCGTACTTACAGGCGTCGTTCATCGAGATCTAATCTAAACTCCGACGCGTGGTCGAGAACTTCTAACAGTTGGTTTTTTCTCTACTCTACAAGCATTGCCAATACCGGTTCATCATCTTCTTTTTCTTCTTCCTCGTGAGGATTCTCAAGAGCCAGTATGTGTTTCTTGAATGAATCTGAAGCTTCTTCTCTTTCGTCCGGCTGTCCCAGTTTGTCGTAAACCAGCGCCATCAAGTAGAAAGCTTCCGCTGCCATTTCGTGGTACTGTGTTTAAACAAATGGTGGCCATTAGTCAAAAACTGAAATTAGGAATGTATGGCATGAACAACCTAATCTGTAGGACACAAGGATTCTTTGGCTATGGATAAAACCTCCACAACATGACTCGTATCGTACCATCTACTCAACCGGAACATTTGTTGATAGATTGGTGCTAGGAGAACCACCTACCTCCAAGAATTCAAATTCATCGGAAGCCTGCTTCAGAGCATCCAGCACGATCTCAGACTCCTCGACCACTGAAAGAGTAATTAGCCAGCTATTTAGATCAAGGAAAATCGCAGCATATCAACAACTTGCAACAGGGTGGGTTTGTTTTAGCTCATGTTTTTAGTTCAAACAAAGTAACACACTCATAAAGTCGTAATCTTTGTCCACTAATTCTCCCGCCAAAATTATGAAAACGAAGATCAGGTCACGACTCCAAGAGGGATAGGGGAAGGAAACCTGAATAGCTTGGGTCACATAAATAGCATTGTGCTTCGATAAGGCGAGCCCTAGCACGGAGCTCCAGGCCGCCATGACCTAGGACCATTGGAAAGGCTCCGTGTAGCAGAGTTAAAGCCCTTTTTGCATGGTTTGTTCCCAGTGACAGCCACAACTCTGCCAATGTTACTTTGGCTGATGCTTCTAGGAGATCCAAGTTAAATGACTGACAAAATGAGAGGCTTGCAAGTGCATATGGAAGGCCTAAAACAGCATTTCCTGATTTCTGCCAACAACAAAAGTAAAGGCTTGATGTCACATCACATCGAATCAGCTCATAAGATGGCTGGGGAGATCAACTGAAAAACCATTGTCATGTCTCAAAATGGACTTTTTGAAGGATGTTTTATAAACTGGCCGCCATTTCTCTAAAACACAGCAATTTGCACTTAACAGCAAGCAAATGTTATAATCAAATGCGGAACAGTTTTGGGGAGCACACGCTCTTTACTTGGTTCCAAGCCAGTCGCATTAGTCAATATACATTTGGTGAACTATGATTCTACCTTGTGAATCTCCGCTAGCAGAAGAAGAACACTAGCATTCTCCACCTGCATGTTGAATTGGTAGCACAAGCAGAAGATAGACTGAGCAACTTCTGATGCCTGCATGAAATTACATCAAACATATAAGACAGACCAGTACAGGATAGGCATATGATTCCGTCTTGGTTCAGACAATGAGGAGCAAACAATCCGAGTTTTCACGCACATGCAACCAACGAATCATGTTAATGTTTAACATTAGAGCTCACAGCCAATCAAGTTCAGCAGCTTCAGGACAGATAAAGGTGAGAGGATATATTCTGAGTCGATGGATATCATTTTGATTGCCATTTGACTTGAAGTTTTGTTGAACATAGCATGCTAACCTGTCTATACTGTTTGGCCGCAAGCAATGTCCGTGCATGGCGCATACTTGCTTCAATTTTCAGCTGATTATCAACACCGTTGAAAGGTGATGCTAATACTCCAAGCTCATTGCACAGTTGTAATGCTAGCTTCAGATTTCCTCTGTACAGTTAGTTAAACAGCTTGAAGTTTACAACAAGTCTCGAAGGATATAAATACGAACAAAAGGTAGAGCCTATTAGTAGCATCACCTATGCAAAGCACGTTCATGGAGCAGCTGCAGTTTAAGAAGCAAAATTACTGGCCTTGAGATGGATAAGAACTTCTCCTCGGCTACTTTGAGAGCAGAGAAAGCATCTGGATTAAGAAAATTCATGTTACAATTCCGTGAATTGAGATTAAATGGTAATGATCTTACAAATAATAGAGCACTGCAAATGAGAGATTCCAGAATTCCAACCTCTATATCCTTGAAACGTTGCTAAGTGCTGGATCAGCTTTGCATGCACCAATGCTGCATCTGACAAACTTTGCAGCAAACCAAGTTCAACAAAGGATCAAAATACAGCCATGAGATGAATGCATAAATTAAGGAGGCTATATAATTTTACCATAACAGTTACCTTGAAGCATCAAGATAACATGTTGCAAAAACCAACGAGTTCACTCGAGCAAGGGTGGCACTGTTCACAGAGATACAAGTTTAGAGTGATCAAGCAAGATAAATCCAAGACTTGAAAGTTCACAGCAGGATGTACCAAAAAAAACTGAACATATAAACCATATACTATTTTGATCCTTTGTTGAAAAAGAAAATGGGGGGTAGGAGCAGCATGACTTTCAATAGTTAAGGGAGGCCAGCCGCACTTGGCTCTGACAGTAGAAAAAAGAAAGCAAATTCTATCAAAATCCTTCGAAAAGAATCACCTTCCATATATCTCCCAAGCTGTCGCACGAACCAAGTATGAAGAACCTACTAATTGCAAAACCGATCTGGGAATTGAACTTGGTTGAGCACAGAACTGAAAGGCATTAGAACTCTAAAAGCACCTTCAATTGTCATTGTAGGGCTTTCAGAGGCATATTCACTAACCAAATGCAAGCATGATCTCAATTCCTGCAAGACAAGAAAATATAGGATCGATAGAAACAGGATGCTTGTCATTTGGTGAAACAGCAGTAACTACAACCACATACCTTACAAACCGTGATTGGACATGTTCGAAGCTTTATGGATGCTTTGGGACCAAATGATAGTAGGGGTCGTTGAACATTCTGCACATAATTGTATAAATGCACTAATTAAACAACTAATCAGAAAATTGACAATTTACAGAGAAGTAGATGCATATGACCCTAGCCTGAAAATGAGGTCCAACAAAAGAGACCAAGGCATGGAAGAGAGATTAAATATTATTACCATTAAGTCAAACTTTGCCATTGCCAGATGATTAGAAGCGATCAGCCTTTTCAAGCTCAAACTTTCCGCTCTTTTAAGAGCCTCTCTCAAGAGAACAAATAATTGTTGCTTGAAATACAATGATGTGCCAATGGTAGCTGTATGTGAATATGATGTTCCAAGTAGCCCACTGGTACTGGAGCTACCCATTTCAGAAGATAAGGTGCAGATAGTGGCCAAAGTGTATGCAAGACAACTATCATTACTTTGCTGCACAGGAAGAGGATTATCAAGCATCAGCACAAATATTTAATATGCAGTGGAAGGGTAACAAGCAGCAGGAGTTGAGGGCTTACCTGGAACCTGAAATTCTAATAATGCATGCACTTTAATAATACATGAAAGAATGTAATGAGCATACATAATGACCTGATTGGAAGGATGCACAGTCTGATTGAAAGCGGGTTTGAAATATTTTGGGTGATACTCATGTTTTGGGTAAACTACCACTTTCTGGATTTCTTTTATTGGGAAGGTGGGGGTGTTGTTTAATAAAAATGGGTGGGGGGAACCAATAGATCAAATCTCTACAGAGTTAGAATTTGAAAATACATTAATTCCATTCCATGTACTCTAAGCATTCATCTTCTTTCAAATACATGCATTCCAGTAACTTTTGTGACAATAACGATGAGTTGCTTTAAACAGTCCTTTAATGCAAAAACTCGAAGAACTGGCGTTGTGTAACTGTGTATTAAGCTGTCCACCAGTTCTAAAACAAATCACCATCAACCTTGTAGTTATATGCTCATTGACATATTCAAAACTTCCCTGCCATGATATTTTCCATTTCGTTTCAACATAAAATAAAATAGAAGCATCTTACCTGTTGAGAAACACGGACTGCTTCAGTAAGAACCTGAAAGTAAATGTGTGATTCAGAACAAGTACTGTAAAAAAAACAAGAGGGCAACATATATACAAGAAAGAAAAAAACATGGACTTAGTTCGACTGACTGACCAAGGTAAGTCCCAAGATCAAATTACCATATAATCCACAGGGACTAAGAACAGGTTGAGGCATACTATTTTGCCGCAAATAATTTCGATAACTACTTTTCGGAATATGGGTTTCCAGGATTTAAGAACAGTTGAGGACTAGGATTACACAAATAATACTTTAAAAACAAAAGCAAGCATCCACTGCTTGTACCACCAAGTCAGTTTGTCATACAACTATACAACTGTGAATCATAAAGCTCTAGTCAAAACCACTGGCCAGCTGGGCACATGTATCTGCCAAATTCTATAGTTTTGTGCAGAAATTAGCAGGACAAATAAATGCCAAATCAGACAAGTAATATTTCCATGCATACCTCCAAAGCTTGTTTTGGATGCCCAAAGTGGAACTGCAGCATTCCCAAACACAACAGTCCTGTCTCGTATCTCTCAAATCCTTTGGATCGTGATGGTACAGGTGTGATATCAAATCCACCAATTCCTACACTTTGTGACACAAGCAGAAAACTCAATTTTTCCACCAAAGCCAGGAGAAAAATATCTAAGCTTAGATATAAGATTATCAAAGAGAAGTTGCCATTGAGTTCAGCATGAAGTAAATGTTCATCTTCAACAATAAGCCAGGTGTTGACTTCTGTATACTAACTAGTATCCAGTTATAAGTACTGATATATCCGACTCCATAATACCACCATTAAGCAAACTTTTATATTCCCTATCCACTCTTATCCTCGAATCACTTGTCATTTTCCTTTTCTTCGTTTTCCTTTTAACAAGCCAAGAACCTCCGGTGGTTCTCAGTGTGACCAACCATCCAGTCATACCATTACCTTAAAGAAAAAGAATAACATCGAGAAGCAAATCAATTACTAATTTTAACATGCAGTAAAAGAAAACTAACTTCAAGCTCCTATGGCACAGGGGTAATGCCGATCAAACTTTTACATGACGAGCATAATGATAGGGATGAAGCTATTAGTTACCTGTAATCAAAAAAGCGTCGGAGGTTCTCCAGAGCACCAAAATAATCATCATGATAAAGGCAAGTCAAGTAATGTAAGAAGTGCACCTGGACGAAAACATAGCAGCTGAAGGAATGACAGTGGAAACAGAAAGACCAAAACCGTTGAAAATGCAAGCAGCAACTACTTGGGTACTAAAACAAGACATTTGTTTATACCACCCCCCAACCACCACCATCATTTGCAGTGCATCAGAACCTCAAATAACTTTAATTAACAAATAATCAATGCCGTAGAATTGAATCTGAGTTCTGGTTGACTTACACGGTGTAGCTCAGGAGCCAAATTTTTAATGCGGTTTAAGATAACTTCAAAGCCATTTAATGGGAACGAACAACCATGCCTGCAACAAGGTGCATATGCTCATTTGAAGAAGACACGTGACGTAAAAAAAAACTCCAGGAAACAAGTGAAAACAAACAAACATGAAGTTACTTCTCAATTGCATCTGCCTGTTCCATGAAGAAGCCTTGCAGTTGGCTTGTTGTTCTCAGGAACATGTTCCCAGAAGTATCAGCACCTCTTGTTCCACTTGCGATGGTATCTGAGCTAAAACATGTTTCTCCACTATTGCCAGCGCGATTGTATAGTGAACCAGCAACAATCTCAACATCTGTGCATTCATTAATCCTGCTTATTAATTTAGAAAGCTTAAACAACCACCATAAGGCTGAAACTTTACCATGTTGCATCAGAAACACAATTCTTTACAATAGTCTTTTATCCAAGCACAAGGAAAACACGCTCTGCCAAAAAACTAATACACTACGCAGCGTCGAGTATCAATAACACTAATGGATATCCTTCTTTTGACGGCAAAGACTGTGGAGTAACAACTCACGAATTCATCCAGATGCAATTTCTAAAAAACTGGGCATACCTTCAACCAGTCCAGAAAGTGCTTTGGATGTATGCAGGTGAAAAGAGTTCCGTTGACTGGCCTGCTTGTTTGCTACAATTTCTTCTGTTACTTTCTGAAAGACAAAATTTTCCAAGTCCATGTTCTCGTATGCCGATGGTGTCTCCAAGTCATTAACAGAATCATCTAAACCATGCAACTGATAGGGGAGGCAACTTGAGAGGGCTTCTTTGCAGTAATTTCCTATATTTGTCAAAAGGTGGCAGACGCCCTGAATTGCATTCAGAAATGACAGAGATGTACTATTTAGCAGCATCACAGGATTCAATTTCCTTGAAACTCAAGATCAAAGAAAGATTAAAAGGAAGTAAAATGCATGCGAGTTTAGCTAACATAATAGCAGCAGCACACATGATTGGTTTCACTATCTAATCTTTGCATTATAGTTTCCACGTTAGGAACGTATTATTAATTCAATAAATACAATCCTGACTGATAGTATTATTTAACATGCTGACTATCACTAGTCGAAAATCTAAGTATTCCTAGTCACCATGTTCTCTAACATGATAACAAAATGCTTAATAACCGAATTCCCGATCAAGCAGTTGCAATGAAGCAGTTTCCACAAATAATAACTTGATGCGTTGTAAGATATAGGAGATTCTTCATGTCAACATTCGGACCCAAGTAACAGAGAATGGATCAGAACCACTAGCAACAAGCAAATACAACTTCAATGACATAGGAAATCATATATGTTCAAACAATTGCAGCCTCTTGTCTTCACTATTTTATTTCTCATTCTACATTTCCCAAGTAAAAGCCAAGCTAAAAAGTATGCTGGGACTTGCAGCACCACTTGTGACCAACAACATAGATGGCTAGAAAATTTGAAGATTATACACTGCCAGGAGCTCGTATTGCAATGAGAAGAACAAAGCCAAGGCATATGATGAAAAGAGTGATTGACATAATAGGACAATACGCAGGATACCTCGAACGATAAGAGGTTAAAAGCAAGTACACAACGACGCACAAACATCCCGAGGTAGCTGTTTGGGTCCAAAACAACTTGATTATCTTCAATAACAGCAGATTCAGTTCCCCCAAGTATCCCTGAATGAAGACAGTCTTTCCAAGTAAGTCCAGGAGTAGTGTCCGGAAGAAAGAGAATCAATCAATTCACAGTAGTGACCGAAGAAACCAAAGAAAACAAGGCAAATGAGAATCAAACCTCGAAATTCACTGAAGAGAACGGCCAAATCATCCGGTGAAGACAGAGATGAGAGCCTACTCGTTAAATGTTCAATCAACCAATCACCCAAGGAACCGCTAATGTCCTTCAATTGAGTCAGAAGATCGGCCAGTTTCGGCTCCAGAAAATCGCCGTGGGACTGCAAATTAATTGATGCTCGGAAATTTCAATAAACAGCTCGCTCCAAGCTCAAAAAACCAGCAGGGAAATACAGAGAAAGAACCTAGTGGAAGCTCTGGGAGTGAAAGAGAGAGACCTTAGTGATAGCTAACAAGTAGAGGCCAAGGTGATTGTGCTGCGACACCGAGAAAAGAGGCTCGGCCTGAGCCGGCGGTGAGTACATCTGGAGCAGAACGCAGACCGCGACTTTGTGCGGCGTCACTCCAAACGCACCAGCCGCCGCCATTTCCGAATTTCAGACTTCCGCTACTGATACTTTTCGAAGCTGAGACCGACAGCGCCGCCGCCGGAATGTGGAAGTGTTGTTTTTGGCACTGGAGAAGTGCCGGCGAAACTCCAGTTTTTGAAACGCGATTCCCTCCCAAAATCGGTGACGGGATTAAACAGGTGGACCGGGTTTCCAGACCCGTGGAAACTGAGAATGTATTTATGGCACGATGAAGCCGCCGACGGTTGGGAGACTGATGCTTGCTTTGTATTGTCTGTGCTTTGCCGCTTTCTTCTCCGATGAATCGGTAAGAAGCAAAAATGCCGCGAAATGAGCTGTTTGGACGGTAGGGTTTCTTGGCGGGTTGACTAGGATCCGACCAATGCAGTCAAAATTGTGCTTTAAAACTTAAAAACTTACGATTTTACGTTTTTAGGTCAACAAAACGCTTTCGTTTCCATATAAAAACTTAAGTGTATGAAATCGGACTAAATTGCGCTTTAAAGCTTAAAAGCTTACGGTTTTACGCTTCTAGTTCATCAAAACGCTTTATGTTTTTACGCTTTTAGACTTTTAGTTCACTAAATGAGTATTATTTTCATGAAATTAATTATAAAAAGTATATTTTAAAAGTAAATCACCAACATATCATACATTTGAGATTAAAAGATATACATCAGGTACTTTGATGCATTCTCCACTCCAATAGAGTAATCTAATTCACCAGCTAGACTTTTCCCAAATTCATTAGCATAGAGAGATAAGTGGCTTATTGTTAAAATTTAAGTTTACGTACTTATTATTAAGATGCTATAAGTTGTTCTACTTTAGGCATGAATAGCAAGCATTTATTAACTTATCTAAATTCCATGCATTCATATTTTGCATAACATATGTCCAACTTAATAGAATTTTATTTATTTTTCAGTATGCGTAAAAAACTTACGCTTTTACGCTTTGATTCTACGCTTTACTATTTTACCCATTTTCCGCTTCTAGGTAGAATCGCGCTTTTGACTGCATTGGATCCGACTGCGTCTGCCCCGAAGTAAGACACTTTGTCTACTAGGCATTGTTTGGAATCCAACTTCTTCTGGTTGGTGCTGGCCCGGTGGACCGATTTGACAGGTGGAATGGTTTTTATCATAATACAATCGATGCTAATATCAATTTTAATAAAATATACGAGAAAAGTGAAAATTATCAAATACTAAATAAATTAGTTAGGAAGAAACAATTAAAAAAAGTTAATTCACATAAAATAATTTATAGTTAAAAATTGGTAACTAATAGTAAACAATTGCTAACTAATAGTAAATAATTTATAGTTAGATAAAATATAAATGTGTATAAAATGAATTTCATTAATGTTTACAATCAATTTATATACCAAATGGGTACCAAATGCTGAGGAAGATGGCTACCTGATAGTCTCACCAGTAACTAGCCTAGGAGCCCAAGCTCGAGTTTCATCCCTCATTGATCACACAACCCAACAATGGCGATAAAATGTGTTGCATCAACACTTTAACCCAACTGATAGGGCAAGAATCAAGACAATTCCTCTCCCAAGAACACCTCAACCGGATAAGCAGTTATGGAACTTTGAGAGAAGAGGTCACAACACAACAAAGTCTGGGTATTGGCCTATTGGGCTTGGAGGCAGAGGCTGAAGCTGGAGGGAATGGAATCAGATCAAGGGAAAATTTATGACCCGATGAATTGGAGAAAAGTCTGGAAACTACCGGTTCCACCAAAGGTAAGAATGTTTCTTTGGCGATTCCTACAGAACATTCTACCGACGGGGAAGAATATAGAAAAGAGGAAGAAGGATGCGGCGGTGGAATGCCCGTTCTGCAATCTCGAAGAAACCCAGGAACATATCTTTGTGGAGTGTGCGTGGGCAAGACGAGTTTGGGATCCTACTGAATTTAGGCTAATCTTTGAAAACCGGGGAAATCTCTCGTGCACATCATGGTTCTGCGAGGTATTAGAGGAAATTGAAGAGGAACACCTAGCTAAATTCACGATGATTCTGTGGAATCTTTGGAATGAACGAAACAATCATTTGTTCAACAAGAAGAAGACGAAAGAGTGGGAAATTGTGGGGAAAGCTCTATCCTATCATGAGGAATTCCTATCGGCCAGACAGAAGGAGGAGAGAAGAGCAGTCGTACCTGTGCACTAGAAGTAGGGCTGAAAATTGCCCTAACCCGTCCCTGACCCGGTCTGATTCGTCCATGAAGGGTCAAGATGTATAACTGACCCGTCCCGTCCCTGTCTCCTTCTTGACTCTGTCTGACCCTCAAGGTATGGGAAGGGTCGGGTGAGTGGGTCGACCCTAATCTACACACAACCTTCTTACAAATTACGTTTTGGTACCCAAAATTATTTTTTCTTACAATTTAGTACCTAAAGTTTATTTTTTTACAAATAAGTCCTTACATTTTGATAGTAAAATTACATTTTGGTACCCAAATTTTTTTATTTTTGCATTTTAGTACCTAAACTTTTTAAACTTTTACAAAGAGGTCTGATGTGGTATGAGATATTTGTTGTTGCTAAGGGTCACAGGGTCAAAAGTGACCCGTCCCAACCCTTATAGGGTCAAAAGCTGACTCGTCCCTAAACTGACCCTATAGACAAACTGACCCGTCCCGACACTCAGGGACGGGACGGATCGGGACGGGTCAGTGGTTTTTTAGGGTCAAACTTACACCCCTAACTGGAAGAAGCCTTCGGCGGGAACGATGAAAATAAATGTCGATGCGGCCGTTTTTGAGGGAGAAGGGGCTGGAGCTGGGATTTTTGTGCGGGACTGGAATGGTTTTTTCCTGCTCACTGGCGGTTCGTCGAGATTGGCGGCAGTGGCGACTGGAAATTGTCGAGCGCGAGGCCATCGGTTTCGCTCTGGAAGTGGTGGAAATGAAGGGATTTTTGGTGGTGGAAATCGAATCAGACTGCTTGAAGGCCATCTCAAAGCTCAAGGATGACGTGGACTCGCTGACAGAAGAAGGGGGACTCAGTGCGGAGCTTAGGGCCACGGCCCATCTGTTGGGAGGAGATGCCACCCTTATCTTTACTACGGCTGTTGGAGGCTATTGTAACCTAGCGGACGGTTAAGCAATAAAATTTCTACCAGGTTCCTATATAAAAAAAAATTATATACCATATAGCATTAGTTATATTATATATAAAGTTAATATGTATAACGAATTAAAGTTTCTTGTAGGCTATTGATGTATAATTGAAACCAGTGAATATGAAGTATTTAGTTAATATTCAATAAAGGGTGCTTATTTTCGGAGGTCATGTGTGCAAATTACTGAAAATCTTTTTCATCCAGTTTTATGATCGATACCGGTTGTTCTCGATTGAACAGACCGGCAGGAAGTCGACATGACAACCATGCTTAACTATCAGAAAATTCAAATTTTTTGTATCATAGAAGAATTCAAGATTTTTAAAGAGTTCGTTCTTTTGAGATAGGAGTTGGAGCACAATTTAAAACTGAGTTACCTATGTTTGATCTACCATATTCATCAAAATTATATGCTTTTTTGTTTGCTCTACATTGGCATCATTAACCCTTCATTCTATTTCACTTGCACCAAGCATCATTAACCCTTCATTCTATTTCACTTGCACCAAGTATCCATACTAGACACATATTCAGTCTTAATATTTTTTTCACTTTCCCACCGTTGTATCAAGGTTGGGGCCAAAAGGGACGCAACTCACGCAAGAGCTCATTGCTCCATCAAAATATTCATAACTTGTTTGCAAAAAAGGGGAGCAATTATATATCAGAACACTGCCCCAACGGTACTGACACTTTTTTTTTTCTTCCTGCAGAAGGTGATTCCCCCAGCTAGTTATGAGGACTGCTCTCTTGCCCTCCACCTAGTTGCAGAAGAAGACCCACGTGGGCCATTGTTACTATTGCCAACAACTCTTCCATACCTTTGTGCAAGAGATGGGTAGTGATCATTGCCAGCTGATGATGATGATGATGTGGAGCTCCATTGCCCTCTTCCAGTCACCTGTTGATACCTTAAATGATCTTTACTAGTGCTATTCAACTGCCATGGCTGCTGCTTCCATGGGTTGGTCGGGTTGTAGTTCTGTGGCCTGAATCTATAGCTGCTGCCTTCACCCTCGTGCAACTTTGGTTGTGCTGAAACCTGACTTCCAGTCTCCTGTTGATACCTTAAATGATCATTATTATTGCTATTCAACTGCCATGGCTGCTGCTTCCATGGGTTGGTCGGATTGTAGTTCTTCTGTGGCCTGAAGCTATGCTGCTTTCACCATCTTGCAACTTTGGTTGTGCTGAAACCTGATCTGGCTGAAGAGAGCTGATCCTCCCTCTTCCTCTGCCATTGCTGAAACCTGTGCTGGATGGTCCAGCTGGCTTGAGGATCGGTCTTGGAGAAGGGTTAGCCGTAAATCGAACTGCATTGGCATTACTCCTAAAGGAAGTTTTTGAGCTCAGTGCATTGTCATTGTGTGGTTCTCCTACGTTGCTGCTTCTGCTCCAGTTTCTGTTTCTGTGGGAGAGAAAAAAATGAACTCGTCAGATCAGTGAAGTACCGGTTATGGCTTATGACAATTGACATGGCAGAAAGAGATGAACCTGTGGTTGGTAGTGTATCTGGAGACAGGGATTTCATGCCATAACTGCGCGGCTACGATGTCAGCTTCAGTTATGGTCTGCACATTGCCAGAAAAAAGAACATCTTGCTTGAATTATGCAGACAGCAAGAGGGTATTATACCTTTTCTCATTTTTACACTGGAAACAGTTTTCTGAGTACCTTGTCTGGAAATGATGTTCCTGCGAGAGGACGAGGAATATGTTTGATTTCCTTGGTCGACTCGAGCAAAAGACATCTAGGAAGAGAACAACAAATGAAGATACTGTCATGTCAAGGTATCTTTAAGCCGTCTCTTTCGTTGTTGTTTATGGATAAAAGGTGCTTACAAGACAGTCCTGTCAATAATGCTGCTCCAAATCTCTTGGTCCAGGGAAACAAATCCACCAATTCCACTGCAGCAAAAGTCAAAAGACAATCAGAGGAACTTACAAACTTTAACTAAATAATTAAGACTTGCATCATATGTGGATCAAAACTAAGTGGACTGACCATGATGCAATGTCCATCTTGCTGAAGATTCCTTTCTCCATGGTCGAAACAAATGAGGCCAGCTGATCTTCAGGCAAACCGCTTCTTCTAATGAACAATCTATCAGTTTTCTGTTTGTTTCTTTCGGTTTCATGACCTTGGAGATCCTTGTCAACTTTATGGAGCTCTGCTAATAGCAATCGTTCATCGACAAAAGGAAGCTTGCATATCCCCTTCCAAAGAATAATGATCGACACATTTTCAGCTTTCACAAATTAGATTCTTTGCAAAATAATTGTAACAAGCAAATAGACACTAACAAACCTGCCAGGAAAACCGCTTTCCCTGCATGTCTACTGCAAAATCAGTTGGGAATAAACTGATGATGTTGGACTTCTCATCTGTCATCAGATTCCGATATGCTTTGGGAAGTGCAGTTGAACTACATATGAAATCTCATTTTAGTTAGTTTCTGCGAGTCTTAAGAAACTATACGAGCATCAATTCAATATACCTTCGCGGTGGTAAGACAGCCATGAGCTGCTCAAAGGGTTTGAATGGTGATCCCTTGTGGAACTTCACCTTTACTTGTGACAGTCCCTTGAGGTCAGATGCAAACGGTCCGTAATGGTATGGGTAGTACCTGAAATGAAGTTTTCAAGTTTCGGTTTCAGCTTTCCACTTTGGCTTATTTTTCATTTCAGAGGCAGATTCCATGTCGATCAAACGAGCATTACCAATTCCACGAAGGGACTCTACAATAGTAGTATTGCAGAACCCACAGCAGCCCTTCTGTATACTTCTGGACCTTCAGAAGTAGAACAAAGCAGTTAGGCTGCAGTCAAGAAGATCATATTTTTGTGACGAAGTAAAGGATATTGATCGACATGGAACATGTTTATAGATAATACATACAGCGTCTTTCCTTGTAACTTCGATCTCACTTGGGGTTTCGGCAGAAAATTTCTCTTGATAGTATCTCTTTTTCCATCCATCAGCACCAAAATTCACCTACAGAAGTTTTTCCAGGACAGAGTATGGTCACTTACTTCATGCACAAGAAAAGTATGGAAACCTTATTATCAATTATAGGTACCTTGTCGTTCACCAAATCACCGTTTCTGAAATTATCAGCTTTCTTCCTAAGGCAAGACCTTAATCTTTCCTTGAACTCCCTTGTGTTCTTCAATATCTGCCACACAAATTTGGGCAAACTTAGCAAGTAGAGAAGGCAAACTGCAGTACTCCACAAAGCATTAACACGCCATGTCAACTTTCTAGAACTAGGTTACTTGATCTTCAGAAACCGGCAGACTTCCAATGGAAGAAGAGCTTGGATCCTTCGCTATCTCCAGTGACGAGTCTGTATTCCCGTCCTCGTTTTCCTGGAGATTGCAAGTTAAAGACGGAGAATATACAAATAGAAGCGACTTCATAGGAAAAAGGGTAAATTACTTGGCTAACAAGATTCTCATCAAGAAGGTTTTGGTGGGAACTCACAACAGCTACATAAGCAGCAACCTGCCTCATCTTTCGATCTCGAAGTTCAGATCTTTTCTTGAAAATTTTGTCCTCGTACTTCCCAACCTCCAAGATGAACTTCTCTACTCTCTTAAGCTTTATAAACACATTTTTGGTCTCTTGTACCTGTTCTCCAAATAGTTTAGACATCGTTAGCCACAATGTAATGAAGCTTACTACAATGCTTCACAGTCTCAGAGTTACCTTTTCCATGTCCACCAAGTACCCTCCAATACTTTTGAAATGTTCCTTATAAACAGTCATCAAAAGATCAAGAGCACCCTGGAAAATGTCATCAGAATAAACTGTTTAACATTTTTACGATTGGGGTTTTAAACTAAAACCAGTACTCTCTCATAATGAATGGACCAATACCTCATGAATCTCCAGGGTAGGCATGCGGGGAAGAAAATCATTCCCCCCAAAGGAGCATATGAACACGAAATCATCAATGGCACGGTCTACATCGAACTCAAACTTCTCCGGAGGATCAGAGATTCTCATGTCAATCTCCAGGTACTGCCTGAGAATCCAAACGTGTAGGAACTGCAAAATGAGAAACTGAAGAGAGTTAGCAGATGGATACCTAATTAAAGTCTACAAGGACCATAAGCACATGGTAGCTTGCTAAACACGTCAAACAATATAAGAATCATAACCTGATATGTCTTCCTGACAGAAGATGCAGGCTTTTTAGCTAATGGCTTCTCTTGTTCAACTTTCACATCCTTGAACCATCCTCTCGACTTGAATGATTTCGTCTCCACCGTTGAAAGGCTACTCATCAAAGCAGAAAAACACACTGGTTGCTCTTCTTGCACAGCCACATTCTGCACAAGAGATCGGTCTTCTAGACGAATAATAATAACAACAAACAAACAATCCGAAACATCAACAAGACAATGAATCAACGAATCACCTCTCGTAGTATCGAGAAGTGCACTTCGTGTGTAGCCAGAGCCAGAATGATCAAGTCAGCATCCTGTTTTCAACATAAATCATCATCAAATCACAAGGTAGCACAGCAACATGAACAAATGTGATTGGGATTATTGGTCTTCTGAGTTTCAAATACCAGGCCATAGAGGCAATGGCGGGTATTCGGGTTGTAATCAGGCATGCAACGCTGCTCCCGAATGAACGACATGATCTTATGCTCCCCTTCCCCCGGAACACTTGCGTCGGAAAGCACAACCTTGATATCCTTCCATCCAGGACTAGTCTCCATTCTCAAATTCACATAATGCTGCAGCTTCTTCGACAGCTCGAACATGAACTCCGTCCCCGGGGTTATGATGTTGGAGTCCGACAATTCGGACTCCGTTTTCGGAAGAATCTGTTTGCCTTCCGTCTCGAATTGCTTTCTCAAACACTCTTCCTCCTCTTCCTGCAATCATAACGTTATGCTACATTGAATCATTACTGAACCAGGGGGGGGAAAAGATTCAAACTTTTCGATTACTACGAACCGCAATCTCGTTATCTTTGGCTGATCGATACCGTCTGGCCCGCTGCTGATTCATCTTGGCCCGCGGGCCGACTCCATCCACAGCCATGAACAGGAGCTTCCTCGGCCGCACGATGCTGAACAAGTGATCGATGTAGTCGAACACGGCGTTGTAGACTTGATCAAACGTTGTCGGCTGAATCGGCTACATAAGAAAAAAACAGAGGATATGAGAAAATGAAGCCAAAAACAGAGGAGGGGAAAAAAACAGAGCACTCTGTTTTAAGAAATCCGGATGAAACAAGGATTGGTCACGTTGGAAGGGTCTTCGGGGTGGAAGCAAGGGTGGATGATTCCATTCATGTCGAGATAGAGATTTTCGAACTCGAACCCATTTGGGTTTGGGAGAAGCAGATTGCTGCTGGTGGGTGCGATTTCTTGATCTGGTGGCGGCAGGGCTTTGACGACTATGTTTGGGTATCTTCCCACTAGCCATCTGTAAAACGAAGGGACGCCCATTTCTCTGTCAGGAGTTCTGCTCTCGCTTCTTGGTTCTTAGTTGGCTTGCTGCTCTCTACCTCATGATCTCTCTCTCTTTAAACGGCTGAATCTTCTTGCGAAGAAAGATTGAGAGTGGGAAGATGGAAAGACACTGGAAGACAGAGTGATAAGGAAAAGGGATATATGGAAAGAGAGAGGGGAGACAGAGCTCCGGAAGGTTAATGGCGGTGGCAACTGGCAACTACGAGTTCCAAAGCTTGGGTAAGCTTGCTAGAGGCCTTCGAGTGGCCTAGTCTACAGCCTACAATCAGCATGCTTTGAGAAGATATTATGTGATTTTTTGGGGGGTGAAGTTTATCTGTTTATTACACTTGAAACGGGATTAAGAAGATAGAATTACAAAGATTCAAAAAAAAAAAAAATGAATTTACACAACATTATATTATTTAGTTTTTGAAACTTGATAGTTTTTGTTCTTTTTTTCTGGTCAGTGTTAGCGGGACCTTTTGAAAGCATACATGAAAAAACAACTGAATCGCTAAATGTCGCCTTTAAAATTGTTAACGGTCGCCCTGACTCTAATGATAAATGACTTATATACCTCCAATAAAATTTCAAAATTTAAACAAACCAAACAATCCCTAACCCCTCAAACTGAACCCCTCATATGTCTTCTTCGCGAATCCCTCTCGAAGCACCAGTTCGTCGGCGTCTTTCCCACCGTCGTCGTCGTCCATTCTCTAACAAAATTTCCAAAAAAACGCTCAACCTAAGGCAAGTTACGGTTGGTCCATGGTGCAACCGCAAGTGAGATGCGGTTGGCCCATGGTGGAACCGCAAGTGAGCTGCGGTTGCACCATGGACCAACCGCAGCTCATTTGCGGTTGCACCATGGACCAACCGCAAGTGAGCTGCGATTGGCCCATGGTGCAACCACAAATGAGCTACGATTCCCTTTTTTGTTTTTTTTCCAATTTTTTGAGTGAACTTTACCGATTCAGAGTCGCTAGTCATGATCCAGACATCATATCGACGATTCCAACTCCAGAATGACGATGATGGATTCTCTCTTTTGAATAATGTTTTATTTTCTTTACTAAGTGGTGTTTGTTTGCTAAAGGAAGAGTAAAGAAACTAAAAGGTTAAATTTGTAACTTTGATGTTTTTTAGGGTGACATTTAGCAATTTTAAGGGCGGCCTTTAGCAACTCCCAAAAAACAATATGGGGAGGAGGGAAAATCTCTAATCAATATTTATGCAAGTGATGTTTGTGTACATTTTCGACTTTATCTTAAGTTGAACTGTTGAACCAAAATATGTTTACAAGCATTTCAAATTTATAAATGAATTGTAGTATGTACGGCGTGTGCAACGGGTTGGTTCATACCGAATCGTACCGGGCCAAATTGATGTTTGGATCGGATCTTGCTGAATCAAATACAACATGGTCGAGTCTGTGATCCTATGAATATTATAAATATTGGGAAAAAAATGGATCGAAGTGACATTTGGACTTGGCCAAAACGGACCAAATACAATGTTGGTCTGATCTTAGTCATTTCTTTCACTATTGGATCATAGTTCTCATTAGTTTGGTCCAAACCAAACCGTTGCACATTCTTAGGTAAAGTATATTTCTTTTGCCCTAAAGTTTAAATTCCAATACACGAGCATAATTTGGACCATGCATATATGACAAATATAGTGTTTTCATACCAAACGACTCAGAAACTATCAAGATACAATGGGTAAAACATGTATGATTAACCCGTATCAGCCTAGCCTAATTCAAATAGGGATGACAACAAAACTCGAGGTATCAACACATTCAAGAGTCAACTTCATGATTTTGCCGGGGACTCGGAGATCTGCCTCCTCTAAGCTGCTCGTCTCCGATTGATCATACGCTAGTGAAGCAATGGAACAGAGAAAACACTAATGGCGGGGATGATACATAGCATGGCCACAGGCAAACAGAGATTTCTCGTGAACAACCATGCTTATGTGCATTCGAGGACGGGAAACATCCTCTCACTCCTGCAAGTTTCTGCTGGGGATCAACTCCAACGTCGATTGCATCAACGACCATCACGACGTTGGCCAACCTCTGCTCTTCTGTGGACGAGTAGCTGGAGGTGATGCACAGTACATGGTTGCCGATTCACAGGCAGCAGCAGCAGCAAGCAGTAGCTTCTGAGTTTCTGTATCTTGGTCTCCATTTAAATGGTAGGCTGGCAAGTCAAACGTGCACTTGGCTCAATTGTGACTGAGATTTTCACCACCTTTCAGAAATGCAATTCCCGCTTCTTTCCTTTCTCTGCCAAAAACACATGAACTTAACATATCCAGGCTGCAGACACCCTTCTAATTGGTGTCATACAGATCCCAGAATCAGAACTTAAGGCGCGCAATATACTCCATTGAACTACAAAAAGCAGCCTACCTGTCAGTTCGATTGGTTATTCATTCAACTATGGGAAACAAGAAAATCAATAGCTATGACATCAGCATCCAGGATGCAAAGAACAGGCAAGAGTATGCTAACCTTTTTGCTAAGGAACATGCATTTGATCACACCAACTCGAAAGCCAGATCGCATCGTGCCTTGTAGATTGACCAACTTTGAAGTCCTCGAGGTTAGTAGGGACATGAAAGAACACAATTGAAAGACTGGAATACCATCTGTCTGTATCAGCTGAATTAATCTAAAAACTAGATGCACCAATCACCACTACCCATCAGCTATGCCCATAAGTTTTCTCAATGTGACAGAGCGTGTTTTCCTAATGGGAATCAGGTGGCTCGTGAATAGCTGAATCAATCCAGCAAATTGATACTAGGCCAAGTTAATCAAAACTACAACCAGCATAGCTCATAACAAGATTATCCTACACAAATGCTTTCATTCTCTACCACACAAGTAAAGCGCCCCTTTCTCCATATTAGTTACTTTCAATATATCTAACAAGATTTGACAATCAGAATGAACCTCTGACTACTTCTTCTGCGCACGAACTCCCTAATTTAGCACAAACCCTGATTCTACATTTCTGACCATTAATGCCAAAGGCTTGTACCAATCCACTCAATCACTAGTTCGGTTAACGCAGACTTCATAACGCATCAACCTCAAACTATATGATTGCTGAGAAATTGGGTGCACCCATCAACTGCCAAGCAAATATAACTCAAGCATGTGGAGACACTACAAGCTTCGGACTATTGATAAACCGCACATCAACACCATTGAACCATAGGATGATAGGATTGCATAATCTTTGACCAAACTCGGTAAAACATCAACAAATAGATAATCAAAGCATAAGGCAAAGACTAAAGACATCGAAGGAGTAGCCAATCTTTTACTCTGAAATGCCTCATGAACTAGGTCTTTGACATTTATCTTCAGCACATACGCCAGGCAATGGAAAGAGATCAATCGGGCAAAAAGAATTGAACATTTCATGGAACGCCAACCCCGCCATTGGCAATGAAAGAAACCAAATGATAATCTCGTCACAACTAATGAAATCTACTGTAACAATACTCAAAAAGCCCTAACAGATTTCATGTACATCTACCCCAACCTCAAAATCTTCTCTTCATGAAGATCACACACTAGACAAACCAGAATAGCAAGAAAAGAGATCTTCAAATTCTTACTCTGAAGAGTAAACGTCGCAGCGCTTGGGAGGTCCGGTCAAGTTCCCCGAGCCACCATTGCCGTCGAGACGCACATCGAGATCGTCGCAGCTCACATTAAGCAGACGCCGCCTGGCCCTCAGCTCGCCAACCTTAAACCCTACACCAGCCACCAGCTCCAAATCGAAACCCACGGAGCCGTGCTTCCTCTCCTCGTCGACCGCGTCGGTCACCGCCTGATCGACGAAAGTGTTGACGATCGAGAACTGCGTCTCCATCACCGTCAGATTCCTGTGCACCTGAAGGAACGGCTGGAGCCGATTCTCGGCCAGGAGCACCTCCTGGTAGAAAACGGAGGCCTGAATCGCTTCGTACTCGATGTCCATCTTCTTGTTCGGGTTGTAGACCTCGAGTCGCGCGGCCCAGGTGCCGGAGAGCTGGTGGCTGGAGGAATTGAATCCGGAGAGGGTGAAGGAAGTGAGGCGGAACTCGGGGATGCGGGGGCGGATCACGATCCAGCTTATGAAGAGCACGGCGAAGAAGACGACGGTGACGGCGATGAAGATGGTGATTAATCGGCGGTAGAGGGTGGGGCGGGCCGGGGTGTAGACGGGGCCCTGGCCGTTGCTAGGGTTGTAGTAGTAGGGATTGGAAGGCTGCTGCGGCGGAGGTTGGTAGGGGTAGGAGGTGCCGGTTGGAGGAGGAGGATAGCCGTTGGGGCGCTGTTGGTTGGGAGGGACTGGGTAGCCGGTTGCGGGTTCCATGGCTGTGAATCGCCGGCGGTGAGGTGGAAATGGGGGAAGTGGCTTGCCGGCTGCGGAGAGAGGAATCCGGTAGAAGCGGGAAGGGGAGAGAGAGTCCGAGTTGGTTCGAATTTACTGGAATTTGCTATCTGTTCGCTGGTGTGATTTTAAAGAGTATCGAGTCCGGAAGTCGGAACCGGAAGGACCGGCTCGCTTGCGATTCGCGGCGAACGAAAAGTTCTAATTATGTTTATCAAAATATCGTGTTAATAGGAAATTAAATTTTTCATCAGAATTATAGGTTGTATCTATATTATTTCTTGTACATTAATTTGTCAATAGTACTACTATAATACCTGTGGAACAACATCATCAAGTTCCTCCCACTTTTGTTGAACAACTAATACGACATTCATTCGGACAATAGGTCGTTCACTCAACAAAAGTAAAACGATATTCGAAAGTTACTATAAGTGGATTTAGAATCAAGGTCGAACTAAAAAGGAGGTAAGAAGTTAAACAGCATTCATACTTTCAATACATTCAATCGTATAAGAAAATATTCTCATAAACATTTGTTCCTTTTCCTATGCTTCTTCCCCATCTTTTTCGTGACTTAACAGTCTAATATCCTGAGTGTAGGCCAAAAGTTCAGCATAAATCAACATGTTAGACTGCAATTCTGAGTTTATGCTCTTCATCCCTTCAGCCACCATCTCTAGATTGGTCCAAACTCATGGCTCACTAATGCACTCACCATCATCATATAACATACTTTAGTTGTCCTCTCTTCAATATAATATGGAAAATTTGCAAAGTTCCGAGAACCAATGTTCTGTAACTCCAATCATAAGAGGCCCAAGAATCCATCTTATAAAATTTCTCTCGTAGCATGATAAACACAATCCAAGTTTGCAATAACAACAAAATCCAAGTTTCAATACTTTTTCGATTTCTCCATAAAGCTTCACTTGTCGCTGGTGCTCAGTAAGCCTTCGTTAACTCTCCTCAACTCCAACATGCTTCAGGAAAAATGTTCTTATAAGGGACCTCCAATATATCTCCTTGCCATTGCCACTTTAGTCTTCATGTCGATTGCATTCCCTCGTTCAAATTTGACAATGTATAGTTAAGTCAATAAATTAGTCATATATAGGTAACATCATCTACATCCCATAATGACATCTGTATTCTAAGTTTCAAAGAGCTGAACAATGATTTCCAGAATGGTGCTCTTGTCAAATCGACATACTCTCAATCCAAGTTCATGAAAGCATAAAAGAATTGAGTTAACAACAAAAAAATCCACTCTACCCTGTCGTATGCTTTTGAAATATCCAGTTTAGCAACAACATAACCATTTTCCCCCTCTTTTTTATTCTTCATCGCACGCATACACTCGAATGCAACCATTATGTTGTCTGTAATGTTTCTCCCTAATACAAATGCACTCTATGTCTTCGCAGTCACCTCATCCAGAACTCTCTTTAGCCTATTGGCTAACACCTTAATAAGATTTTATAAAGCACCTTACACAGAGCAATTGGTCCAAACTCTGTAGGGAAAGCTGACTTCTTTGTCTTAGGTATAAGAACTAAGAGTGTACGTTGTTTAGAGTAGGGGATACTATGCCTGTAATCAGATTTCTTTGCAGCTCAAGACATACTATATCTACTGTCACCCAGTTCTTATGGAAAAAAAATGCAGGCATCCCATCCGATCCTAGTGCTTTTGCGGGACACACCTTGACTTTAAAACAGAAGAATACATTCATAAAATAAATAAATAAATAAATAACAGAAGAAAACCCATAAAGAAAATGACAAAACAATAAGACTACTAATAAAACTAGCTTAGATTTGTTGACCGGAATATTTAGATTTATTTTTAGATAAATTTTATTATTTTACATTCATGATGGATATGTATTTTTAATCAAGTGCTTTCTATGGTCATAACAATAATATTGTGAAAATTCTCTAAGTCTTGATCATGGTTTTATAAATAAATTACTTGTCAGCACATCCCTAAAAATTTCAGAATTTGGTTAAAGTAGTTAGTGTCACCCAAGTTTTGTTAATTGTACTTAACCTAATATCTGATATTATTTCAACTAAGTGGAGTAAAATGTTAAGATAAAAAGAGACTAAATGGGGGTTGTAGAGTGGCCCCTAGTTCCTTTTTATTTTATTTTGTAGAACGACCTCCAGTTCTTTAGTTGAAGTTCTAACCTGTAAAAAGGGAGGAGGATTAGAACCTTCTTCGCCCACTCCAATTATGAAGTTAGATTGTTTAAGTAGTTAGAGAGATAATGTAACTTGTTTAAATAAGTAAATTGCCCTCCACAATAGTAGTGAAATCAATGTTTACCTTAAGGAGGTGATTAACAGGCTAAACCACATGCTAAAAGTATGAATTATAGGTCTCTATTGAAAAAAATAAAGAATAAAGAATAAATATTTTATTTCGATACTTTGCATGAGCTATTTCTTAAATAACACTTGTACCAAAAGTTTTTGTACTAGATTCACCGATGTTATACAAACTCCATAGAGCTCACAAATCACAATGTCGGCTAGATATCTCCACTATAAGTCAGAAAAATGGGAGTTTGAAATAGCCCTCTTATTGGATTCTTTGTAATCAATTTTTGTAAAAAGAATCAAAATCTATGTATTTATCAAAATCTATGTATTTATCTTTTCATGAATAATGCTACAAGAATTGTTGGTATGGATTCCTTTTGGGATTAATCGATTTTGTTGATAAGCCTTTAGCATAGTAAAAAAAAGAAGGTGACAAGAGAGCAAATTAGTGGTGTTCTAGTGTTATATAACTAAATAAGATCTTTTTTATGTAGCTAAAGAATATAACTTCTATCAAACGAGTGAAAGAAAGAAGGTGACAAAAACTAAAAATATTTTGTTTCTTGTTATATAATTAAATGAGTTTTTTTTTATGTGTTTTAGTTAAAAGGGACCAAAATTATTAAAAGAATTAGCTATTCTAGCTAATGAGGGAAACAATGCATGACCAGTACTAACAGAACTCCTCCTTCGTTACCCATCAGCTTCTTCTTCTTCTTCTTCTTCTTCTTCTTCTTCTTCTACGCTGTTGGCTCCTTCTCGTGAGTCTTGCGTCCCTGGTTCCGCATATGGTGAGTGGTGAACTCAGCTTCCGTCTCGAACGACTGGTGGCAGGTTGAACATTTGTGGGGAAACCTCTTCATGCATGTCGTTGTGGTGGGTTTCGATGCCCTTGGAGGTCTCGAACGACCCCTCGCAAACGTTGCGATAATACATTTCTATCTCTCGAGATGGAGAAGTGGGGAGACGTACTGAGAGCGAATGGAGGATCGATTAGAATGGAGAATAGTGTTTGGAATGATGGTGCAAGGAAAATTGCTTCATTTGGGGGGAGGGTTTATCACTAGGGCTTCGTGAGATATGGTGAGTTACTAGGAAAGTAGCTACTAGCTAGGGATTATGGGCATCATCGGCCTGCCATTTTCATCTCCATGTCCTTTGGGATCAGGCTGTCGTTTTCCATATCTCCGCGTCGACCTAGCTAATAGCCTATGACACAACCATGTAACAAGAATTCCCATATGAGGATGCCTCTTAATTCGACGATGTATATTGCATTGGAGGAGTGTCCAAAATTTCGGTTTGGTTTTACGTACTGATCTTGCTCACCTATCCGACAACCTAATCATGAATTAATGCACAAGTCATGAAGAGATGGAACGTACAACTCACGACTCGAGAAAACCTCGTTCGATTCAAGGAAAAACTCACGACTCGTTTACTAAAGAGCCAAGAGTTTGAAGCCGAGTCTTGTATTCAGCTCGAGTGAGATTCGTGAGCCAACTTGATTATGTGGCTTGTTGAGTTGATCAAGTCGCGTGAACTATCATCGTTTTGAGCTCGTGAAATATCTCAACGTTAATTGTAACTAGCAAACCAACTCGATCGAGTGCCGGCTAATGAGAAAATTTATCTTTATATTATGAGTTGCCTTGTTGGTCATTCATAGGTTTATTAAATCGTATATCTCATTCATATGAATTATGATGTTTAAAGAATTTGAGTAGATAAGCAAACATGTCTCATGAGATTAGTTAATCACATGTATTGATCTTATATAACAGACCCTTTGGTACCAAATGAATCGAGAATTCATTTTATTGTAAAATGAATTACCGTATAAATTTCATTATGAAATGAAATCTTGTGTTTGGTATGTCATATTCAAATCTTTAGAAATAAAATGAATTGTCGTGTACAATTCATTGTCAAATGAATTCCTGTGTTTGGTGTGTCATATGTATAAGCAACTTAGTTAATAAAAGAGGATAACTATATCATTCTATTATAATTAGTACATACTTGTGGAATTCATTTGCAAATTCCATCTCAATTCCTCGGAATTGCTATAATTAGTTCCAATTCCATAGAATTCAAAATTTAGAATTGAAAATAAATTCTTTTAAATACCAAACACAAAAATGTTTCATTTCAAAATGAATTCCTCAAAACTTATGGAATTCATTTATACCAAACAGTATGTATATAACATATAAATATTATGGTATTTAATTTATAAATTATCTTATAATTGAGGTTGAGCCGAATTTCCTAATCTTAATGATGAGACTGTTAGAGTTAGTGCATAAAAGAATTTTCTTTTCCTTTATTCTTTTATTTTTTACCCACTCTCTACCGTTCCTATCTTTATGGAATGTGTGTTAGTTGCTACAAACTCTCCTCTATATGTGTATAATTAGGCTCCGAGATCTCAATGCAATCTCAGGCCATTTTTCACAAACAATATTATTTTTCAATACATCTTTCATGGTATCAGAGCAAGCAAAGTTCAGCAGCTCCCCAGCAAGATTCTTCTCAACATGGGCCTTCCTCTGTCCATCCGTCCACCTCGGCGCCTGTTACTCCTCCCACTGGGCTTCTGCCTCGCCCCGGCCCACCGCCACCTCCTCTTCGCACTCACTCCATGCGCATGCGGGCTCAAGATGGCATTTTCAAGCCCAAGCGGCTATTTCACACCCACTTACCAGCTGGGCCGCCTCCTCTCCGTCCTGTTTCTGTCAAGGAGGCTATGAAATATCCGGAATGGCGGCATGCTCTTTCAGCTGAAAATAATGCTCTTCTGGCCAATGGTACTTGGAACTTAGTCCCTCGTCTTCCTCACTATAATGTTTTTGGTAACCGCTGGGTATTTCGTGTTAAGCATAATTCTGATGGTGCCAAAGGGTTCCCGGCCACGACTTTACTGATACATTCAGTTCGGTTGTCAAGTCTGTTACCGTCCGGACTGTCTTCGCATTCGCCCTGTGTCACAATTGGCCAATTGCTCAATTCGATGTTAATAACGCTTTCTTGCAGGCTCCCTTACGCGGGGAAGTTTATATGGCCCAGCCACCCGACTTTGTTGATCCTGATCGTCTTACTCATGTTTGTCGTCTCCTACGCGCCATTTATGGTATTCGTTAGGCTCCACGGGCCTGGTACTCTGCTTTGACGGATTTTCTTCTTGAGTTCGGATTCAAGAGGACGCACTCTGATGCTTCTCTCTTTGTTTATTCTCATGGGCATACGCTAGTCTATTTTTTGGTCTATGTTGATAATCTCCTGCTCACTGGGAATGATTCTGCAGTTCTCGCCGCCTTTCAGGCTGCTCTCTCTTTGCGGTTTTCCCTCAAGGCTCTTGGTGCTGTCAGCTATTTTCTCGGCATTGAGGTCATCCCCACCACCTCGGGTTTCGTTCTTTCCCAACATAAGTACATAGTTGATATCTTGCATCGGTTTCACCTGACTGACATGAAGCCCGTTGACACGCCTCTCCCTGCCTCCACTACTCTCACCTTGCGTGATGGCAGTTCTCCCACCGATGTTACGCGCTATCGTTTGGCCCTTGCGCTCTTCAGTATCTGGTTTATACTCGTCCTGACATTTCCTTTTCCGTCAATAAACTATCTCAATATATGCATGCCCCCAACAACGCACCATTGGCAGTGTGTCAAGCATTTGCTCCGTTATGCTTCCGGGACTCTCACTTATGGCCTATCCATTGCTCGGTCTTTTGGTCCTCTCTCTCCCCATGCTTTTGCTGACTCCGACTGGGCAGGAAATCTTGATGATCGATCCTCTACTTCTGGGTATTTGGTGTACCTCGGCTCTACTCGCATCTCCTGACCGTCTCAAAAGCAGCGCACAGTGGCACGTTCTAGCACTGAGGTCGAATATCAGACAATTGCTCATGCTATAGCGAAATTGGAGTGGATCATAACCTTCTTCTTGAGCTTCGCCATCCCTTACCATCCCGCCCGATTCTCTACTCCGACAACCTTGGGGCCACTTACTTCTCCGTCAATCCTGTCTTCCACTCTCGCATGAAGCACCTAGCCTTGGACTATCACTTTGTTCGTCAGTTGGTCCATGCTGGTCAACGATGTGTTATTTATGCCCCCACTACCCAGCAGCTTGCAGATGCTCTCACCAAACCACTTCCATCCACCCGGTTTATGCTCTTACGGTCCAAGTTCGGGGTCGTTGATACCTCCTCCGTCTTGCGGGGCGTGTTAGAGATAGTGCATAAAAGAATTTTCTTTTCCTTTATTCTTTTATTTTTTACCCACTCTCTACCGTTCCTATCTTCTGTGGAACGTGTGTGTGTTAGTTGCTACAAACTCTCCTCTATATGTGTATAATTAGGCTCCGAGATCTCAATGCAATCTCAAGCCATTTTTCACAGACAATATTACTTTCCAATACATCTTTCAGAGACATAGTTTTAATAAATGAATCGACAAATGAGAATGTACTCCTATGGTCTATATACCAACATTCGATCGTAGCGTGGTTCACGAACGAATTTGCACCCCGATCAATTACGTATACTCACTGAATAAACGGGCGCTCAAGAAATGAACAATGAATGTGTGTGAGGGATGCTATTAGCCATCATGGTAACAAATTTTTAATTACAATTGAAGTATCATAGTTGATTGATTCGTAAACCTTATATATGCCGTGATCAACCGTTCCTAGTTTAGCTTGTCTTCATCGAGTAGGTTCTCCAAATACACTCTCCTCCGTCCTCCCTCCTTCCTCTTTCCTTGCGCCCAAAGCCTTAGGTGGGCGGTGGCTAAAGACAAAAGGAGAAAATCTGCAACGAAGTTCATTTCCGTCGCCAAAAGTTTACCTTTGGGACGCATTATGCTTCCGTCGCTAAAAATTACTTATGAACTAATTATCATTAATATTACAATCAATAATTAGCACAAATATTAATTTCAAATAATTAATAAATTATTTAGTAGACCTCATATATATTTTAAAATAAAAATGAATAGATTAATATAAAATAATAACAATTAAAATGAAATTAATCTGACAAGCGAGTCATATAAATAGCTAGTTATGTTAATCAGGGCGTGGTTTTTAACTTAAGTTATCACTACTGGACTGTTCTCATGTGTTCACAAATTTGGAAAACACTAATCCAACGACATTGACACTCGCTGATAATCCAATATCAGGATAATAGCTAAATTCCGATATATCTCCCTTATTCTCTCTCGACTGATATATTTCTCGTTTATAATTAAAAAAATCTCTATATTTTGTGCGAATTAACAATATGAAAAAATTACAATTTGGTTCTCACACTAGGAAGAATTTATAATAATGAAGAGTACAAATCTGGATTATTGTTGATTAGCATGTAAGGTCCTTTCTACCCCTAGATTATTGTAGAGATGCTTACGATTTGATGAAATTTCTCCATAATTAAACTATAATTTAATAATATGATATGATTGAACAATAATTAAATCACAATTTCAGTATAAAACACCTTTTCGACACGTTTTTACAATCATTTCACATGATCACATCTACAGACGAATTTATGCTCTACTCCCTACTAGTGCATGCTACTATCAAAATTAGCCTCAAAACAAAATTAATAGGGGAAAAAATATCAAAGAAAAAAATTCCCCTTTAGAAAAAGAGAAACCCAAACCGCGCGCCTAATGCACACACCCCAAAATCACAACACACACGACGACGAAGAAGATGTAGGTTCGGAATACGGCCCAGCACTTCACCACCAACCGCCGCCACTCCCCGTCGGCGCGGCAGCTCGACGGACCCAGCTCCATTCTCGTATCGTTCGGTCGGAACGTCACCTCCGTTGGGTCGCATGCCACCTCGACCACGTTCCCCTTCCTCGGCCACGTCATCCGCCGCTCGTAAACCGCCGCGGCCTCCAGCTCCAGCCTCAGCGGCACGGGCCCACACGGCTTCAGGATCGTCCGGTTGGCCGCCCCGCAGTCGTCGTCCACCACGAAGTTCAGCGATGGGAATGAGGCGGACAGGGTGGCGGCGCTGCGTCCGGCCTGACGGAACGGCGGGAGGGTAACGTTGGCTATGCGGACGCCGTCGTCAGCGGCGGCGGCGTAGGCGATGAGGCGGTGGTAGAGGAATCCGTCATCGTTGGCATTGGTGATGGAGAAGCTGACTTCCCAGGCGGCGGTGAGGAGGCTGCCGGCGGAGACGTTTTTGACGGTGGCTAGGCTGTTGGCAGAGATGTTTTTGACGGTGACGGCGGAGGAGGTCATGGCGACGGTGGGGAGGGACGGCTGGAGGTAGATAAGGAAGCTAGTGACGGCGGGTACGGCGCAGATTAGGGCGACGGCGAAGATGATGAAGAAGGTGGATTTGCAGCAGCTGCGCCGCCGGGGTTGTGATTTGCCGTTGTGAGGTTGCTGGATTTTGTATCCGTCGGCGATGGTGATGGCGATGGATTGAGACATTGAGAAACAGCTGGGCGAAACCGAAGATTGGAAGATGTGGAGTGTGATCGGAAAATTGGGGGGAGGGAAGTTAATAAAAGAGAGGATTTTCAGTGGCCGGAGTGGATTCAGTCTCCGGTAAGGAATTGGACTGGCCGTGAGGACAAAATGGACAATTACCAAGGGTATCCAAAACCTGGCAGCAATCTGCATTGCGCCAAAACAAAATGGACAATTCTCTACTTGTTCCCGCAAAGTTAAGTTCCAATTAACCCCTCTGTCCTTTGTGAAACGAAGAAAGTTAAAAGCAAACTGCATGTTTTCTTTCCTAACAAGCAAAAGCATCATCAGACCTTCTTAGGTTTTCTGTTTTTCGAGCTCTCCCCGTCTTTCTTGTTCGTTGTTGCATCTGCAGCCTTCTTCTTGTCCTTCCTTTCCCTCTTCTTCAGAGCTGTCATGTGAGCTTTGAGGATTGTTGCATAAGATGCTTGGAACTTCTGGTGATCCTTCGCCCCAACCTGCACAATCACCAAAGAAAGAACATGGTCAAGTAAACACGAGGTGCGTATTTAATCACATACGAACTAAATGCATGCTCCCCTGGTTAGTTCTCAGCAGATATTTTCGATTAATTTGTGGCACCGGGGACAGAGATCGTTCTTACTGGCAAGATATTGATATGGCCTCATAATCTCTCTAATCCATTCTAAAACAGACTACACGTTCAGCTAGAGCTAGTTGTTTGGTAGGCAGGTTCAAGAACCTATCGTGTATATATTCACAACTCAGACATCTGACGTATGTGCACAAGAATTTCGGACTAAGCCTTGTCAGGAACTAGATCAACTATGACATCATATTTCAGACAAGGGACGAACAGACAACAGAGTCAAGCTTGTTATAGCTCCTTACTGATAAAAACAAACCAGACACAATGTCTAGAAATCTAAGCACCGAATAACTTATGCTGATGAGTATGTGACGCATCTGAAGTTACACAGATCCAATACAACACAGTATAGAAGCAAAGCAAGATGAAATCCAGCTGTAATGCCGAAGTTACTATGAATCTATTGGCTTCCACCTAAAATGGTAAACCACCAAAGATTGAGATTGTGATGGACCAATGCCGTTTCAGCAGACAGCAGTTGACTGCCTGGTCAACCAAGCTAAACAGTTGCAATGATAACTGCACAAATTGAAGTAATGGTTCATGGAAGGAAGTTTCTTACGGAAGTAGAGATTGTCTTCTTGCCATTGGTTGCACGGATGAGGCACCTGTAGTCAAGAGGTTCACCAGCAGTTTTCATCTTATTCCTTTGTACCTTAGACTTCAAGGATGCTTCAAGTCACGAGAAACAACAAGCATACCAGTTCAACACCCTTCAATGGATTCCAAAACCATCAACAAACATTCAAACTCTACACCGCCATAAGCCAGCGTGGATGAGACTTACATCGTTTGAGAGTGACCCAAACCGAGCCTTTCTCGGTGCTGTGCTCAAACATGCTGGTGAGTTCATTAAGAAAAGGGTCGGGCTGTAGGAGAACCTACACCAACAATCAAAAAGGCAGAGGTTTAAATCAATCTGTAACTAGACCCAATCAACGCTTTGCGAAAGCTACATCAACACAGAGCTTCAGGAGCTCGGTAAATAACAAACCACAATGTTGCAGCCCAATTCAGCCTCAACAGAACAAACTCGAGGACACACGTTATCGAGCTGAGTTGAATTCTTTGGAACTTAACTAAACCTAATTCCGGAAGCCAGTCAAAGAAACTCATGTAGGCACACTATCAATCGAGGATATGGATGCGTGAATTCCTCTGATCAGGAGAGAAACCGCGGGCGAGAAAAAGGAGAGGGACCGTCGATGACAACCAGGAGAAGAGAAGAGCGACCAAATTGAACTGGAGGAAGAGACATTACCATGGATCTCGGGTTCAATTGAGATCGCGCCGGCGGCGGAAGCTGTTTGTCCGACTCTTCTGCAACACAGGAGGAAGACGAGCGATCTTTCGGCTTCGGATTTTCTTCGTTCTCCGCGGAGAGACGACAACGGAAGGAGACTCTCCGTCTCCGATGGGCTGATATGAAAGAAATCTGAAAAAGGAATTTCGCAATTTGTCTACATGTTGACTGTTGAGGAGCGGCTTAGCGACTGGGCCTAGTTTGGGCCGGGCAATTCCCCAGGTTGGGCCTCATTTCGCTGAAGAGAGTTTGGTGTCTGATTGCTTATTGGGCTTTGATTGATTACATTGCGGTGGGGAAGCACGAGAATATGAGAGTAAAGGAGAACAAAGTGGCCACTATCCAAAAGTAGGGATTCAAACCCATGCCCACGGGTATCCGACCGTCTCCAACCCAGTCAACACGGGGAATCCCCGTTTTGACTGGGTATGGGGCGGGTATGGGTAAAACCCGCAAAATGTTTGATGGGTACGGGGCGGGTATGGTTTTAGCCTCGTCTGCCCCATACCCATACCCGCCCCACCAAGAATATTTGTTCACATATAAAAAATACATGAATGAAATAGTAATCTATCAATGATAGTGAGGGTAAATAAAAATAATAATAAGTAAAAATGCAATTGAATGGTCACGCAAATCAAAATCTAATTTATTTTCCTCAACTCTCTCTTCACTCTTTCACTTTTCCCTCGTCTCGGCAAGATTATATTAGTTCATTATTGCTTAGTATATGTATTAGAGTCAGATAAATAATAATTTGGATTACATTGTAGTACTCTATTTTATGGATTAAGGGAAATTTTAGGATAAAATGCTTTGAACCATATTAAGAATTATTGTCACTTTCTCGACTTCATGATATAATAGGTGCTTTTAATGCTATAATTGAAAATTTACATATAAAATTTTATGTATTATAATGTTGGATGTACGGAGCGGGTATTACCAATGGGTACCGAAGCCCACGGGTATGAGGATGGGTTTACAAAATCTTCCTCACATGGGTATGAGGCGGGTATGGATTTGAATATTTGAAAGCGGGGATGGGGATGGTTTAAGCAAACCCGCCCCATTGTCATCCCTATCCAAAAGGCAGGGGAAGAGTTCGGGTTTAACGTGAATCTGGAGCTTGAACAAGGCACTGCAATTGAAACTGATGAAAGCTACAAACAAAGATCCAAACTTTTTTTTTTTTTTTTTTTTGGTATGAATGACATTATTTCGTTATATTGTATTGACCCAATTCACAGTTCCAAATACCCACTTTCATCCATACATTTGGCAACAACGATGCAGTTATGCAATCTGGTATAATTCACTATGTACATACAAAATGCAAAGAGAAGAAGAATTACAACAAAAAGAAGAACAAGCTGATCAAAAGAGCCTATCTGTTCTCCCCACCCAAAAAAATCAATTGAACTTTGGATTTGCCAAAAAAAGTGGCTGGACAAATATCATTACCAAGTAGAACAGAAAGAAGAAAAAAGGAGCAGGCTAAACTGCAGAGAGAGTCATGAACTCCGGCCACTGTCGTCGATCATCATCCCTTTCAGGCTCTTCGCCAACCATATCGCTGTCTCCCTTGGCGAGACCTTATCTTTCCCAAACGGCTTGAGAACGATTGCCAGTTCCTCCAGCCTGTTCTGCTGCAGCAAGTCAGCAGACAATTCCAAAAGCCCTTCAAGTGCATCAGCTCGCTGCCTAAATGACTTCACGTCCAAGATTTCCTTGGGTGCAGTAGTGGGCGACGGAGCCACTTCTTCTTTGACAGGCGAGGTAGGTTTTGCCAGTTCAGAAGTATCAGATTTCATGGCTGAGGGTGCAGCTTTCATATCCATTTCCTTGAAGCTGGAATCATCAGTAGACAGGCTAGATTTCAAGCTTGCGGCTTCTGAGCCTCCTGCCGATTTAAGTGTCACTGGAGCCCCCACATTTCGCATATCCAGTTCATCTCTCATAACATTCAAGAGTTTCCCGACGTCCATATTTTGAACTCCCATCTCAACAGCTTCCATGACTGGCTGCTCGTTCCCAACACGGAAACTACTGTGGCGTATGACATGTATGACATCGTCGAAAGGAGGACAGCCAGCAGCAGAACCCTTTTCCACTGGTGGATTTTGAAAGATGGTTGTTCCTTTTTCTGATTGGAAATAGTTTTGAGCGGCCGAAATTGGTGAGAGAGCTGAAGTAGTAGCCTCTGCAACTGATAGAAGTTCTGTCACCGTAAACTTGTCATCACCTCTACATGGAGAAGTAACATTTGATCCAAGTGACGTTTCAGGTCTACTGCTACTAGGCTGACTTTCAGGGATAGCCTCCTTACGAATTGTCACTTCTTCAGTAACTGGAATTGATAAATGGAGTGCTGCACTTGACATCATGTTACCAGCACCAGTGGAAGAATTGGCATTGGCATCTGCTCTGTTAGAAGGTTTAACTGAGCAGATTGCAGATCCAGGAGAATATCCAGGATTTTCATTTGATAAATTTTCGGAAGCATCAGAGTGGAAAGAGGATGGAGATGAGACTCTTAGTGCTGGAAGATCTGAAGTTCCTGGCCTTCTTTCTATCACATGATTTGGAGGTGTCTGCATGTCATCAAATGAAGTTGTTGCATCATCATAAAGTTCAGCTGCTTCAACTGAAACTGCAGACGACACAGAATTACTGCTATCAGTTTGAGTCACTTTTGAAACTCCAACGGGAGATTTGTTAGACGTCTCTTGCTTAAGCTCCTTAGTAAAATGCATGAACTGCCCGCCTGGAACCTCACGAGAAGCAAGTTCGGGGGAGTTAGTCGTGACAGTAGTCTCAGTTTGTGTCACTTTTGAAACTTCAACAGGAGATTTGTGAAACGTCTCTTGCTTGAGCTCCTTAGTAGAATGCATGAACTGCCCATCGGGAACTTCGTGAGAAGCAAGTTCGGGGGACTTAGTCGTGGCAGTAGTCTCAGTTAGGGAGTCATTTCCAACTTGTCTTGTCCGTGCAGGGAATGGACACCGTCGAACTATGTTGGAAGGCGGGGTTCTCTGCCTAGACTTTGCAGCAAGTCCATCATCAGAAAGCTTTGCGGGGACAGATGGCGGGATGCCATCGTGTCTGGGCTTAGTCTTCGGCGATGAACCAATTATTGTTAACTGCTATTGAGGAGGTGATTAAATGTGTGAGCAGTTTAAACGTTAAAGAGATCAGAATACCAACTACCAAATAAACCGACTGGAAAATACTATTCTACCTGATGTTTTGAAGGGGTTGATGCTGGAATCCGCTTAACAGAATCGAATGTCAACTTTGCCTGAGCAATAGGTGAAGCATCAATTGCGTTAGGCTTCAAACTCGGAGCAACAGCATAGGGTCTTGGAATTTTCGACACTGATTCTGTGGTATTTCTTGGTGTTGTTGCTATGCCTGTAGCTTTCGTACGAGCCCCTCTCAGTGGAGAACCATTTTCCCTAGTCTTGCCTTCTTTCAATGCCATCATAATACTCTTAATAGTCTTAGGCTGCTGCTTGGACTCAACATTGGCCCCATCGTCATAATGGTTGACCTTCATCACTGTCCGTTCATTGACTTTGTCGCTATGAACTGTATGATTGCTATCTCCTTCGCTTGGCGTAGTCTGTTCAGTGTCATTATCATCATCAACTGATGCCAGATCTGTATCAGTACCTTTATTCTCTCCCATAGTTGAGATGTTTCTCTCGCTTGAGAGGTAACTATCTCTATCACTACTAGAGCTGTTGCTGCTATGGCTTTCAGCCATGCTTCTCCTTGAACCACGACCAGCTGAAGGAGGCTTCTCGAGAGAGCAAGTTGGAAGACTGAAAGAAGATCGGCACTGCTCCACATAAGGCTGCAAGTATGGATGCTTTAGGACCTGAGCTGCCTGAAAGGAAAAAGGTACTCGGATTGTTAAGGAGGAAACGGGAATAAAACTTACATAGCGGGAAAGAAATTGAGAGGTATGCTTACACTAGGACGATGCTCAGGATTTTTCCTCAACATGCATTTAATAAGTGCTTTCCTGTGATCAATGTATCAACTGTAAGTCCCAAATCATCGCTAAAGAGTTAAGTGTTGATCATAACTAATATTCCAGAGATCACCGGGCTAGCCATCCATAAAAATGAGAGAAAGATAGGACTTGTAAATTATGCAGTTGCTCCATCAAATTTTTCTTTTTTCAGTTCTTTTAGGAAATTCACAGAGATAATCTAGTATGAGACTTATAAAGTTTCTGCCGCATGATACGGAAAAAGAAAATACCAATACTATAAGAGAACGTACAAGGATGGAGAATAGCAAGGTGGCAAAGGACCAATTGAAGAACGATTTATCTTGCTTATCAATCCTGCCATATCCTGCAAGAGGACAATTACAGAAGGGATTAATTTACGGATAAATCGATGGATTAGAAAATGCTTCGAAGTTCTAAGATATTGCAGCTAACTTTCTAACGCAATGGCTTTCATATCTGGGATAAAGGAAATCTTACAAAAGCTTTGAAAGCAGGGCGATGAGCAGCCATCTCATATACACAGCATCCTGGTCATTAACAAACCCATATTAAGAAAGAGGTAACATAATTTCACAATCACGAAAAAAATTCAAGACCTTGGAAGCACCATACCTAAAGACCAAATATCTGATTTGAAACCATATGGAATGTCTGCAAGTAGTTCAGGACACATGTAATTGGGAGTTCCAACCACCTGCACACAAACGCAGACATGCGCACATATTACTTGGGAAATAAAAAAACAGTCAGATTATCTTTGCCGTATCGGTATCACACACTACACAAGCAATTCCAGGGGGAAATGAATTCATCAAAGTATGAGAAACAATCAAGTTCAAGAAAAAGGTTAAATGGCCTGATGCATTCCAATCAAATGGCATGCTTTGCGCAACAGATGAAGTACTCAATGTCGGAACAATACAATCCAGCGTGATATTTTGTAGTCATCTACAAGATTCTATGCTGGCACAAGAAAGTAATAGGGAAATAAAAAGGAAAAGTTGGGAGCTTAAACATACCGATGAAGCCAAGTCATCTTGCTTCAAAGTTTTAGCAAGTCCGAAATCCCCTGAATTCAACCAAAAAAAAAAAAATCAGCAAAAGTAAAAGGACCACAGCAACAATGCACACAATACATAACCAAACATTAATCAAAACAGAATTACCGAGGCGGACATCCTGATCTTTAGTCAGAAAGATATTTGAGCACTGCGGGGAAAAAAAGAACGCTTTCATCACTAAAGTCACCATCTTTAAACTTTATACAAAACCTCAGAATCAGAAATCAAAACTCTACTCCACATACTTTCAAGTCACGGTGGAGGACATAATTAGAATGAAGATACTCAACAGCCAAGAGCAGTTGCGTGAACCACTTGCAAAGTTTCTGCATCCAACAATGGCCGTCAGTCGTACTCAAATAACTTAGCCTACTATGCAATGCCAGCCGCAAACATCAATCAAACTGGAAATCAAATAAAAAACTACCTCCTCAGGAAAAGTAACACCATTGTTCTTCTTCATCAATTCAGCCCTACTCCGAATCAACCAAATGCATAGATTAGTAATTAAACTAGCGAGGCAGGCTAGATTCGACTCTAAATTACTTGAATGCATAACATAACACTTACATGTCTCCACCTTCACAGTATCCAGTGACAATACATACATAGCAACCCTACATATACGCAAGTGGCAACATTCATATTCAGCCGCCAGTGATACTAAACAGAAGAAACCGAATCGAATTG